AAATAGCATTTATCTAGTCTAATAAATAGCAGGCTAGCATTTAGCAGGCTAGCATTTAGCAGGCTAGCATTTAGCAGGCTAGCATTTAGCAGGCTAGCATTTAGCAGGCTAGCATTTAGCAGGCCAGCATTTAGCAGGCTAGCATTTAGCAGGCCAGCATTTAGCAGGCCAGCATTTAGCAGGCTAGCATTTAGCAGGCTAGCATTTAGCAGGCCAGCATTTCGCAGGCTAGCATTTAGCAGGCTAGCATTTCGCAGGCTAGCATTTAGCAGGCTAGCATTTAGCAGGCTAGCATTTAGCAGGCTAGCATTTAGCAGGCTAGCATTTAGCAGGCTAGCATTTAGCAGGCTAGCATTTAGCAGGCTAGCATTTAGCAGGCTAGCATTTAGCAGGCCAGCATTTAGCAGGCTAGCATTTAGCAGGCTGCATTTAGCAGGCTAGCATTTAGCAGGCTAGCATTTAGCAGGCTAGCATTTAGCAGGCTAGCATTTAGCAGGCTAGCATTTAGCAGGCTAGCATTTAGCAGGCTAGCATTTAGCAGGCTAGCATTTAGCAGGCTAGCATTTAGCAGGCTAGCATTTAGCAGGCTAGCATTTAGCAGGCTAGCATTTAGCAGGCTAGCATTTAGCAGGCTAGCATTTAGCAGGCTAGCATTTAGCAGGCTAGCATTTAGCAGGCTAGCATTTAGCAGGCTAGCATTTAGCAGGCTAGCATTTAGCAGGCTAGCATTTAGCATCCAGAAATGCAGGCCTTTTAGATAAAGGCGATCTATTCCACTTTCTAGAATGGATAAGATTAGAACGTTTTACCCAAACGTCTAACAAGTCTTTAAGATCAATTCTATCTCCTCATCAGTCTAAACTCAAATGGAATTAAGATTGGAATCAATATTGGAATCAAAATTGGAATCAATATTGATATCAAAATCAAAATTGATCAAATTCACTTTTCAAGTTCAGTACTTTGACCCGGGAAACGCAAATCATGCATCATCGCCTTTAAAACTCAAGATTTAATCGCTTTTCTCTCCTTTTGATCATGTCAACAATCTAACTTGACGATATTTGTCTAGAGTTTAAAAGAAAAAGGCTCACTTTGTCGGTCAAACGGTGACTTTCCCTCTCAAAAAAATCATTGATATGCCCAGTGTGATGCACGTGAAATCCCTTACTCGAAACGTTTTCTCCATTTCATTTTTTCCATTTCATTTTTTTCCATTTGTCTTCTATTTCTTTTTGATTTCCTATCTTTTATGCACTCTTCTATCCCTCTTCAAAGCCCTTCAGAACACCCACGCTTTGTTTTTTTCATGAGGAACATGGGGAAAATGAGAAAATGGGAACAACTCATCTGCAGAAATTTTCTGCAGATGAGTTGTTCCCATTCTATCCCTCTTTTCCGTTATTAGGCTGTTTAGAATGTTTAGAAAATCTTTCCTTTTCTTTTCCAATCTTTTCCAGTCTTTTCTTTTTCAGATTTCCATTTCCATTTCCATTTCCATTTAAAAATAACAAATTCATCAATTGTTTATTTGTTTTTTTTTTCATTAGAAAAAAGCGATTATTTTATTTACAAAATAACATTAAAACGGGTTTAAGAGGAGTTCTGTCTGGATGAAAACTTACCTGGTATGGCCTGGTCTGGACTAGACATAGGAAAATTCCAATCCGAACCTACAGTACTGAACAATGAAATATGATATTTGAAAAACGATCGTCACGTAACTTTCTAAAATAGAGAAATACCCTTTCTGGAGTATTGATTTCTGATTTCTGCAGTTTTTCTGCAGTTTTCTCCCAGAAACGCATTCTTTTTACGAAAAAATTGACAATTTCAATCCACTAGAAAGGTTATACAGCTCTGGTTTGTCCTGGTTTGTTTTAACGTACAGTACTGGACAATGAAAAAGCATATTTGAAAAACGATCGTCACTTTCGCGCGTCTATAACTCCCTTGTCTTTGACTTTAAACTATTAGTGTTCTACATTTTCTGAAAGCTCTTTTCAAGGGCTACACAATAGTAATATTAATATTTAGAAATACGATAAAGACAATGGAGTTACAGACGCGCGAAAGTGACGACGATCTTTTTTCAAATATGATATTTCATTGTCCAGTAGTGTATTTTGTGTCTTTCTTGTCTTTCCTATAATTTCAAGATGCCCAAAAACACTGCCGAATCAAATCGTGATCTTTTGGTCATTGTCCAGTACTGTATGTCTGGATGTTTTGGTTGGATGCTTTGTCTGGATGTTTGAGGATAAAGTCGGGTAGTTAAAGTGCGGCCTTATGATACGATTTAGACACTTTAGCTAAGGAAACCAATCTTTGTGTTAATAAATAAAAGATAGTGCATCAAAAAAAAAGACTCAAAGCACGATTTCTCTTTATAAAATCGAATATTTCAAAGAATTTTTCAAAATTCGACTTAAAATTCCCTAGAAAAAGTGGATTGAAAGCGATTGAAATCAGCAAAAAAAAGAAACGGTTGTCTGCTGAAAAGTTTCTCAAAAATTTCTCACAAAGTCTCAAAGTAATTCATCAATTTCCTTTTTTTATTTGAAAAATATTTACTTTTCGCTTACTTTTCACTTCCTTTTGCTTCTTTTTCACTTCCATTTCCCATTTTTTTTCTTAAACAGATGATCCTTTTAAAGCCAATTTCTCACTTCAAAACATTAAAAGTCAATTTCTTTAATAAAAAGAAATAAATAAATAAATAATCGTATTTCTAAATGAATATTTATTCTTTTTAAATGTATTTAACTGTATCAGCTGAATATCGATTAACTGAAACTAAAAAAAGTCGAAATTGAACGCGCTAGTTTGCTCATTTCACGTCGACAAATTTTTTTATGCAAAACGGATTTTGAGGTTATTTTTTTCAAGATTTTATTGAAATCTTACTATTATTTTGTATATTTCTTTGTTTCTTTGTTTTTTCTTTGTTTTTTTTATGTTTTTACAAGTCAAATTGGTAAATGAAAAACAAATTATGGAATTTGAAAGGTTTTTTATGTTTTCATTTCGTTTTTAAGCTGTTTTTTGGGGTTAGGTTTATAAAAAATCTCTTGAAACAGTGCTAAAATTGTATATTCGATAACGAATAATGAATTACAACATAACGGAGAAGATTTTTATCCCTAATTACCTCCTATTACCTAAATGTTGTTAAGAAAAAAACCATAATAATCGGAAAAGAACCATTCTTTCTAGCCGCCGCGATTCTAGCCCGACTAGGAGACAAGACTCCTATCCAGTCGGCTACCACGTTTTATGCCAAACTTTAAGCGAATTTGGGATTTTCGGTAATTAAAACGACTCAATTTGGCTAAATAAAACGATGAAAAAAGCAGATTTAACTAGGAAAAACTAGGAAAACTTCTGAAATCCCAAATTTAATTCAAATTTTTATCAACAAAATGCTATGTCTAAAAAATGCTTCTTCAAATTTCAATCAAGCTTCAGAAAGCTTACTAATAATCGAAAATCTTCATTTCGAAGATTCACCTAGGGATTTTATACAATTTTAGTCATTAGTGGTGATGGTGATGAGACAAGACTCCTATCCAGTCGGCTATCACGTTTTATGTCAAACTTTAGGCGAATTTCGGATTTTGGGCAATTAATAGGTTGATGCAAAAGTCTTTTCGTTTTTTTCGTACTTCTGTTAAAAAGTAACAAATTCACGAATTAATCTATAGTTTGCTCTATAAAAAAAGTGTTTTTTTGTTCAATTATTTGCCTATTTATTCACTTCATTCTTTGCTCACGAGATTGCAATAGGTAAATGAACACGGAAAAGTTGTTTAGAACTAGTTTAGAACTAGTTTAGAACCAATCTAGAACTAATCTAGAACTAGTCTAGAACTAATAGGTTGATGCATAAGTGTTTTCGTTTTTTTCGTACTTCTGTTAAAAAGTAACAAATTCACGAATTAATCTATAGTTTGCTCTATAAAAAAAAGTGTTTTTTTGTTCAATTAGCATCTTTTTAAATGAATTTCGGTTCACTTTGAAGCAAATTCGAGAGTGAAAAACGCCTTTTTCGTAAAAATCTATAAAAAACTCTACGGAAAAATTGGCTGAATGAATTTCTCTGAAATTTTGGCGAAATATCAAACGTTTTTTTCTCTATCTTTTATCTATTGACACGAAGATAGGTTTTCTTTAGCTAAGGTGTCTAAACCGCATCATCGAGTTAGCCCTTTTTGACTACCCGACTTCATACTCTCAAGAAAATCCAGGCATTCAATATTTTTAAACCCGTTTTAATGTTATTTTGCACAAAAATAATTGCTTTTTCTAATGAAATCAACCGTAGTTTAATTCGTGCATTTGTTGGCTTGAAACGGCAGACGAAAAGGAACAAAAACACTTATGCATCAACCTAATAAAACGGCTCAATTTGGCTAAATAAACCGATGAAAAAAGCAGATTTAACTGGCATTTTAAACAGATTTCTTAGCAGATTTCTTAACAGATTTCTTAACAAAACAAAAGCAGATTTAACTCCTATCCAGTCGGCTATCACGTTTTATGTCAAACTTTAGACGAATTTGGGATTTTGGGTAATTAAAACGGCTCAATTTGGCTAAATAAACCGATGAAAAAAGCATATTTAACTAGGAAAACTTCTGAAATCCCAAAACTAACTCAAATTTTAATCAAAAAATGCTAATTTATATAAATATAATTGTATTATTAATCAAAATCAATCAAATAATTCTAATTTCGAATTCCCAAACGATTCCAAAGCTTTTCTGATTTCAAACGGAACTTTTATCTTTTTCTTTTTTCTTTTCGAATTTCTTTTATCACCTATCTAGTCAGAGTTCTCAAAAAACGGCAAAAAGGGCAAAAAAGTCAAAAATAAATGTCAATCTTCCTTTAAAAACAATCAAAACTCACTCATTTTGGAGAGAAACACAATTCTCTTCAAAATCTTGACATTCTGTGTTTTAATCTTTATCTAATTCCTGTCAAAACTGATATTTTCGATGAGCGATTGGATAAAAGCATTGCTCAGATCGTGTTGTCTAACGATTACCGGGTAAATCTTATTGCACTTTTGCCAGCCGACCTTTGCCAGCTTCCCTTTCCCAGCTGCTAAACGCTCGACTAAAATCTGCTTTAACACTTTGTGCAAACTTGTAAACGCATCCTTTCTAGTGCACAGAGTTTTGCCATTTCAACGGTTCGATTACTGAAAAATGCGGAAACTTTTTTTGAACACTCTGTAGAACTGTCTCTGTCTCTTTTTGACTTTGACTCTGTAACACTCTGTAGAAAATCTAGCACGTTTTTCTAAAACATGACAGCTTTCAAAAACAACCGTAAACTGGAATCTGAAGCTAATCTGGGATCTAAACGGATGCACCGTGACTTTTTAAATTTTTGAGCACAATGTACACCTTAGCTTTGATAACTCTTTGCCTTCTTTACCAGCTGATCTTTGCCAGCTGATCTTTGGCCAGCTGATCTTTGCCAGCTTCCCAGCTTCCCAAGCTTGTAAACGCACCCTTTCTAGTCCACAGAGTTTTGCCATTTCAATGGCTTAATGCAAAATGCGAAAACGAAAAGAATCTCGTGCACCAGAAAGAGCAATTTTTAAATTTTTGAGCAAAACACCTTAGCTTTGGTAACTTTCAACTAATAAACTTTATTTCTGAAAAATTCTTCATAACTTTCCTCTTTTTACGTAAACACATCTCCTCCTCATTCCAAACAAAGGCACAAAGAAATTTTTCGATCAAAATTTGACGTCTAGGATTAGTGAAATTGCAAAACATTAAAAATATTTTGACGAGAACGTTTTAGATTCAAATTTTTTTTTGCAAAAAATTCATTTCTCTATACTTTTTTTGTGCTCAAAACACACATCAAAGTACACTTTACTCTTAATTCTTTAGTTTTATAGTTTTAAACAAAAGTAAACAATAAAAAGGAAAGAAACGAAAGAAACGAAAGAAACAAAAGAATTGAGTGCCACAGAAACGTGCGTTTACAAATTTCAGCATAAACGACAGTCTGTCAGATTTGCAACATTTTTTTTGATTCTTTTTTCCCCTTTTCCATTTCTCCCTTTCAAAACCTGTTAATGGGCATTTTCATTCAATTTTAGATCGCTTTTTTCCCTCTCTTTTCATTGAAATCATCCCAATTTTCTTATTTATTTATTTTTTAAATAAAAATTTGAAAATTTTACTTTTAAAAGAGATATTTTGATGGAGCTGATCTTTGCTGATCTTTACCAGCTTCCCTCCTTTGCTGATCTTTGCCAGCTTCCCTCCTTTGCTGATCTTTGCCAGCTTCCTTTAGTGCACAGAGTTTTGCCATTTCAACGGCTTAATGCAAAATGCGAAAACGAAAAGAATCATAAAAATCATCATAAAAATAAGAAAATTAATCAAAAATTCATTTTTTAATCAAATAAAACAAATTCTGAAGTAAATTATTAAGAAAATTTGAAGATTAAATAAAATTTTGCATAAATTTCTAAGTGATTTTGTAAAGTGAAACAAAAGATTTCTATCAATCTCAAAAGATCTCAAAAGATCTCAAATTTTACTTTCTATCAAAAGTCTTAAAGATTTTCGTTTCAATTTTTCTTAAATTTCAATCTTAATTATGGTATTCTCTCTAATAATAGTGCACCCGGGCCGAGTTGAAGACTATTTACAGCTTCCAAAGTTTCTCCAGAAGCTCAACACTCGAATCCCTCACTAGATCTGATCGTTAGCTACATTTTCCGACCCCACATCGATAGGTTCTGATAAGCGCTTTTCGAGATTTCGATCAATTTAGACGAAGCTTAGAGTACTATTAGGGAAAATACGGTAACTGGCTCAGATTCTGACTTGTCTAGCTGATCCACAGTAGGGCGAAAACCTTTATAGCACTTTGACAGGTTTAAGTTCAAAGGTGAGATTGGTTACTTCGGTGAGCCGAGTTGATGACTATTTTACTGTTTCCAATTTTTCCCAGAAGCTCAACACTCAAATCCCCCACTAGATCTGATCGTCAGCTACATTTTCCGATCCCACATCGATAGGTTCTGATAAGCGCTTCTCGAGATTTCGAGGAATTTAGGCAAAGCCTTTGGTGCACTACTATTAGAGAAAATACGGTATTTATATTTAATAACTTTTTTCTAATTCTAGGGGCGGAATGCCCGTTCAACGATGCGGTCACCAATTGACGTCAAAGAAGAAAATGGAGAGAATCGACTCGTTAGTCACCTTCGCAAAAACGGCAACACCAGCGGCAGTGAGTGATTTAAATGCGAAAATCAATCAAGAGCCACCGTTTATCTTTAAATATATGTTGTGTCCGATTTAGATTTCCGTCCGATTTAGATTACGGTCTATATTGGACGTCCGATTTAGACTCAATCTAAATCGGACGTCTTATATAGATTGAACAATAATATAAACATGCTTAATATATGTTCTTAAGCGTTTTCTGTAGTTTTCTGCATTTTTCAAAGGTCTGTTACTGTCTTTTTCTGAAAAGAAAACCCAACTATGAAATAATCAATAAAAGACCTTTGAAAATGCAGAAAACTACAGAAAACGCTTAAGAACATATACTAAACATGTTTATATTATTGTTCAATCTATATAAGACGTCCGATTTAGATTGAGTCGTCCGATATAGACTGTAATCTAAATCGGACGTCCGCGATAAGTTCAATCTAAATCGGACGTCCGATTTAGATTGAATCTAAATCGGACGGAAATCTAAATCGGACACAACATATACAAATTTACACTCTTACCGTAATCTATTCGATCGAATTAGGAGTCAAAAAGTTACCAAAATCCGTAAAATTCAGGGTTTCGGAACAAGCAGAGGAAAATCGGTTTTTTTTTTGCCATTTTTTAATAAACTTTTTCTAAGCACTAGTTAATCCTAAAGATCTGTGTTATATCTCAAAAAATCAACCATTCTCTCTACTTTAATTTAAGACCAAAACCCTCAGAAAGAAACGAACTAATGTTAAGATATGAGCGTTTGTTTGAGAGTAAACTTAGAATACGCTTCTATAGAACGCTTATTATGTCCCTTAAAGCTTTTCTATTAGAATATTTACAGTATTTAGTGATTTCCATTTCAATTCCTATTCACCTCAATCGATTACAAGCCATATGTTCTCCGTTAAATCATTCGAGCGTTTGTTTTGAGAGTAAACTTAGATTACGCGTAAACTAAACGTAAACTCTAAGTAAACTTAGATTCTATTGAACGTTTATTATTTCCCTGAAACTCTTCTATTGGAATATTTACAGTATGTAGTGATTTCCAATTCAATTCCTATTCACCTCAATCGATTACAAGCCATATGTTCTTCGTTAAATCATTCGAGCGTTTGTTTTGAGAGTAAACTTAGATTACGCTTCTATTGAACGTTTATTATGTCCCTTAAAGCTTTTCTATCAAAATATTTACGGTATTTAGTGTTTTCTATTTCAATTTCAATTTCAATTTTGAATTCCAATTTCAATTCCTATTTATCTGAATCGATTACAAGTAGAGTGTGTTCCTTGCAGACAACGCGTTTTCTAAAAAGCGCGCGCCAAGGATAAGCTACCGTAACCCTATGCTTTGCATCAGCAAATTTTTCAAAATGCAAATGTACATTAAAATCTTGCGCTCTTTTTTTCTATTACTCTTTCCTTAACTCTATAACTCTTTCCTTAACTCTATTACTCTTTCCTTAACTCTATTACTCTTTCCTTAACTCTATTACTCTTTCCTTAACTCTATAACTCTTTCCTTAACTCTATTACTCTTTCCTTAACTCTATTACTCTTTCCTTAACTCTATTACTCTTTCCTTAACTCTATTACTCTTTCCTCAACTCTATTACTCTTTCCTTAACTCTATTACTCTTTCCTTAACTCTATTACTCTTTCCTTAACTCTATTACTCTTTCCTTAACTCTATTACTCTTTCCTTAACTCTATAACTCTTTCCTTAACTCTATTACTCTTTCCTTAACTCTATTACTCTTTCCTTAACTCTATTACTCTTTCCTTAACTCTATTACTCTTTCCTCAACTCTATTACTCTTTCCTTAACTCTATTACTCTTTCCTTAACTCTATTACTCTTTCCTTAACTCTATTACTCTTTCCTTAACTCTATTACTCTTTCCTTAACTCTATAACTCTTTCCTTAACTCTATTACTCTTTCCTTAACTCTATTACTCTTTCCTTAACTCTATTACTCTTTCCTTAACTCTATTACTCTTTCCTTAACTCTATTACTCTTTCCTCAACTCTATTACTCTTTCCTTAACTCTATAACTCTTTCCTTAACTCTATTACTCTTTCGCTAAAACTTAAAAATTTTAAAATGCTATTTAAAATTAAAGAAAACATTTAAAACGGGAAAAGTTAAGAAACACTATCAAAAAATTATATTATTTACGAATTTACCAGGCCTATTGTCTACATTTGCACTAGAACCATTCCAAAAAAATTGCACGCCCTAAAAAACCTAAACCCTTAAATAAAACTATCCATTACTACATTTTAAGAAAAGTTTGCAAATTTTTTTTCGCGCGACCTTTATAGCTTTGCTTAAAAAGCGCACCTTTTAGAAAACGCGTTGTCGGAAGTTTGTCGGATCAATTGTCTAACAAAAAAAGTTGTCAATGAAAATTTGTCTGACAAATTGTCTGTCAACAAGGAGCACACTCTAATTACAAGCCATATGTTCTTCGTTAAATCATTCGAGCGTTTGTTTTGAGAGTAAACTTAGATTACGCGTAAACTAAACGTAAACTCTAAGTAAACTTAGATTCTATTGAACGTTTATTATGTCCCTGAAACTCTTCTATTAGAATATTTACAGTATGTAGTGAATTCCAATTCAATTCCAATTTCGATTCCAATTCCAATTTCGATTCCAATTCCAATTTCAATTCCTATTAATTCAATTATCTGAATCGATTACAAGCGATCTATTCTTCATCAAATCATTCCGCTGAAAATCATGATGAGAGTTTAAAAAGCCTTATCTCTAAAAATCTCTAAAAATTCATTTCCCAAAAAAAAAAGTGAAAGTTTTTTTGATAAGCACTTAGCTATATTCTCTCTTTCTTTTGAGATCTTTTTTATAAAACACAAAATGAGATCACCAATCACTTGAGATCAGTTTGAGTTGACCAGAATCCTGATAGAGAAAAGGCATTTTTCGGGAATTTTCAAGTAAACATTTGAAATCATTTGAGATCGAAAAATAATTGAAAAGAATCTAAAATAAGATTTACGGTATCTATTGAAAGTAAAATCAAATTCAGATGTCTCAAAAGATGTTCGACGTTGTCTCCATTCCCCAATCGACCGTCCACGAGTTGATCCTCCTGCTCACACTTGGCGGTGATCCAGCACAGCTCATTGAAGGTTAAAAGTTCATAAACCTTTTCAAAGATCTATTTTTCACTCTAGCTTCCAAACGCACCCTATCTAGAGCACTGAAAGCTCAATTTTTGTGATTGATTTTACTAGATTTACAAATTTTAAACTTAGATATTAAAATTTAAAGAAATATTTTCATTTATACTTTTTAATCTTTTAAAATCAATAATTTTCTATTTAGATGGTTACGGTGAACGGGTATTAGCCGAGCGGGTCGAATCGGGTTCAGTTTGCGCGGAATGTGAGCAAAAATTCGATGCTTTTCTCAAATATGCGGGTCCAATCTACGAGGAAATGTGGGATCAGGTCAGAGTTTACATTTTTATTTTGCAATCAGGGATAAGGCTCAATTCTGGTGGCAAGAAATGCGTATCGGTGTAGCTCATTGTAGCTGCTAAAACGGTGTAGCTGCTAGAGTGTTCGCTCGGGAAGCGACAGGTCGAAGGATAAAAGAAAATTCGAATTCGGATAAAAGAAAACCGATAAAAGAACCGTGCAACTCTTTGATTGATTTTCAAAGATTGAATCTACGGTAGATTCTAGTCGATTCTAGGTTTGAACTATATTTAAAGTCAATGTCAAGTCATTGATCTTTACTCCAAACTATGAGTCGTTGATCGATCGTCATCCTGATTATTTTACTGTATTTTCTCTAATAGTAGTGCACCCTGATCGTCGTCTAAATTCCTCGAAATCTCGAGAACCGCTTATCAGAACCTATCGATGTGGGGTCGGAAAATGTAGCTAACGATCAGATCTAGTGAGGGATTTGAGTGTTGAGCTTCTGGAGAAACTTTGGAAGCTGTAAATAGTCTTCAACTCGGCTCGCCGAAGTAACTAATCTCACCTTTGAACTTAAACCTGTCAAAGTGCTATAAAGGTTTTCACCCTACTGTGGACCAGCTAGACAAGTCAGAATCTGAGCCAGTTACCGTATTTTCCCTAATAGTACTCTAAGCTTCGTCTAAATTGATCGAAATCTCGAGAACCGCTTATCAGAACCTATCGATGTGGGGTCGAAAAATGTAGCTGACGATGAGATCTAGTAGGGGATTTGAGTGTTGAGCTTCTGCGGAAACTTCGAAACCGTAAAATAGTCATCAATTCGACTCGCCCGGGTGCACTACTATTAGAGAAAATACGGTATATCAATCAATGGTCAAACAACAAAAAAACTCAAACAAAAACTTCAGAAAAAAAGGAATTCGTAAATTGTCTCAAGTGGTTTTTCTATGAAAAAGAAAAGAAATTTGAGAGCTTTGTTCTGCTTTTTTTTCTTGAACAACTGCTTCCTCATGACAATTCTTGCCGGATATTAGTTTTCCAAGAAAATTAATGAAAAAATTGGGGATCTTAAACAAATACTAATTATATTTATAGAAAATTATCTAAAAATGATTAACTATTACGTGAAGCACGTGTGGCTGACTGGTTAAGTGTCTTTTATCTTAATCGGAAGGTCGAGGGTTCGAACCCCACATGCGACATGGTCACCCCCTTCGGATTTCCTTTCCCTTCGGGTTGAGAGGTTTTCTGGAGGGCAGTCTGGTGGTTGTGGCCCCAGTTCTTTAAAGTGACAAGCCACTCCTTCATCGTCATCTTCCCTTCACCACCAAAAAAGCTATTTAGTTCCCCATTGAGCTTAGGGTTAGGGAGCCGTCTGTCATGACGTGGGTTAAGTTAAGATATAGCCTAGTATTGTGTGTGTCGTTGTATTGTGATTGATATATTTCGTGTATGCGATAAATTCACCACTGGTAGCCCCAGTCGGTATTTTTTTTTTTTTTTATTTCCATTTTGGGCCTTTACATACCCCTTGACTCCATAATTCGTTTCAATTCAAATATTTTACGCCAAAACTATAAATCTAGAAATATTTGAGATTTAATAATGATTTTTTAAAATTTTAGACACCTCTAAAGATCTCGTGCAACACGCCTGGGCGAGGAGTGCCTGGCGGAGTGTTACCCCTTTGTCTCGATGGAGGTGGAATGAGGTTTGGTTCTAATCCAACAAAACACTAATCTAATCTTAGCTTTAATCCAACAAAACATCTAAAATACTAAACATTCAAATAAAGGATTTAAGTCTTAAAATCCAATATATTTGCGCCATTTAAAATCAAAAAAAAACTCAAAATTGAGCGGCACCGGGGTTCGAACCCGGCTCATGTGGAGTTGGAGAGAAGAACACTACCGACTGCCCCATGGCAACACAAGGGTTTGAATAGAAAAACATGGTGTTAAGCGAAGAAAGAGCAAGGAGTTGTCATGGATTATATCAATGTAATGAATTCTAAAAAGTGTCCCAACTACCGTACGCGCATCGTTTTTTCTAAAGTGCACTAAAATAGCTGAAAGATACCGTAATCGTTTGAATTTCGATTTCAGAGGCCTTGTTTCCGTTGTTTGTCTCTTATTCTCTTCAAGAAGATTGCTCGGTGATGAATCTCTTCCAGATTACTTTGATTGGTTAATTGGGACAAGGTTTATTTCACTTCTATTCTATTCTATTCATTAATTACCGTATTTCTTTGAATAGAAGAGAAAGAGTATCATGGCGTACTCCTGCGGGTAAAGAGTATGATCGCGTACTCCTGCGGGTAAAGAGTATCATCGAGTACTCCTGCGGGTAAAGAGTATGATCGCGTACTCCTGTGTAGCAGCCCTTTTTAAAATTTCTTTTCTGCATAAAAGCTTTCAATCAAGTGCTATAGAGCTGGAAAATGGCTCAAAAATCTGTTAGCTCATGTCGTATTTTTGAGTCATTTTCCAGCTCTATAGCACTTCATTGAAAGCTTTTATGCAGAAAAGAAATTTTTAAAAGGGTTGCTACGCAGGGGTACGCAGGAGTACGCAGGAGTACGCGATGGTACTCTTTACCCGGTCTTCTATTCGAAGAAATACGGTAGCTTACTTTTCTCACATAATAAGTATAAACTTTCAAAAATCATTGTTTTCAGCACCGGTTCAATGCTGGCCTTATCGTTGTCACAAGGGAAATCCCTAAAAGAGTGTTTCTTTCAATATTGGGATATGAAAAGGAAGATTTTTCTTGATGGATCGACAATGGCGAGACTTTTTGGAAATCAGGTAATGAGATTAAAAGAAAACAATTAACAGTACAGTCATAGTTCTAGTAGAGTAGCTCTAGTAAAGCAATAACTGCTCAAATTTTGGTTAAAATCGATTAAACAATCGATTTCTGACTGCAGAACCTTGTCAAGAGTCTAGCTCCTTTTTGAAGTAACCGATTTTAAAGATATTTTAATTTAAGCTTATCTGGAATGCACACTATAATTTGTTGAAAAGAGATTTTTAATTTATTGAGATTGAATTTTGTACTAGTTGTGTACTAGTTGTGTACGTGCTGTATCTACAGTACCGTACTGTACGCCTTTACGGTACTGTACCGTACGTCTTTACAGTACCTAGAGAAACATTACAGTGGGATTAAGATCTAAAAAAGGATCTGAAATCTAAAATCTGAAAAAAATCTGAAATCTCTCTAAATAGTTCTCTAGATACAGTAATCGCTACTGTGCGCTCCAGCATAGAGTAATACATCGAAAAAACCCGATGAGGGTTACTGTAGCCGAGAATATTAACGAGAACAGGTTCACTCGATTTTACGGAATTTCTTTGAACCAACAAGGCTCGAAATTTTTCTCAATTTCAAGCTGGATAGCACAGAATAGAATGGGATTGAAAAAAGCTCTAAAAAGGATACAAACCACAAGCTTACACATCAATCTTCAGGTAACCGAACAAACGAGAAACATTGAGACGATCTTGAAAGAGTGCTTTCCTACAGAGACTTTTCATGGATCATCTAGGTGAGGAAAAGTGGCTAAAATTTGGCTAATTACTGTCTAATTACAGTCTAATTACTGTCTAACTACTGTCTAATTACTGTAATCAGACTACAGTGTGTTAAATAATCAATCTTTTTTGATTGTAATTGTTTTAGACGTCTCACTGTACCCGCCTTTGACATCACCACCTCACCGGGTCGATTGTTCACCTTCAGAAATTATGCTTTCGATCGACCATTCGGCAGTCAACTCCCCGCTGAGCAAGACGCATTTTTTCGAGAAGCTGCTAGAGCAAGCAGGTTCTCATTACTCTACTTTTAAAGTTAAAGAACTAAACTACAACTGACAATGACTCTGACACTGACACTGACACTGACACTGACACTGACACTGACACTGACACTGACTCTGACACTGACACTGATCTAATGCGGTTCCAATACGGTTCCAACAAGGTTCCAATACGGTTTCATTACGGTCCTTTTTTTGATCTAATACGGTCCTATTTGGATCCAATACGGTTCCAATACGGTTCCTATTTGGATCCAATACGGTTCCACTGACACTGACTCTGACACTGACATATCTGCTGATTATTGAACTGATATTTGACATTTGAACTGAACTGATCCTTAATTTCAGCGCCGCTCCCACCTACTTTGAGCCTTTTCACTACAATGGACGAAAACTCGTCGATGGCTCATTTGTAGCAAATTCCCCTTTAAATATTTTGTGGAAAGAGTATGATAACTTTTTCAAATTCGACAACAAAATCCGTTTCCACGGAGTGATTTCGATTGGAACTGGAGAACCACAATTGACTGAAAGAAAGATCAAAGAATTGACGACATTTAAAAGAAAAGCAATCAATATTGCAACTGTTGGGACACTCATTTTGGAACAGGTTTGAATTAAAGCTTCGAAATTTGATTATTTTGGAAGATACAATACTTTTATAAGATACAATAGCACCAATATTGGCTAGTCTTCTGCTAGTTTATTTTGAAAGATCGAATCAGTAATGGATCTTATCGATATCGATGTTGAAAGTGAAAGTCATTCAATCAAAAAGTCGAAATACTTTAGCGATATTAAAGAAATTTACAATTTCAGTGTGTTGGCCAGGATCAATGCATTGTTGAGGCAGCATCAGATCGCTGTGGCGCACAGGTAACACACTTTTGCATACACGAGCTACAAACTACAAGATCAGACTACAAACGCTTAGGGAAACGCGTAGAATGGCTATTTCTAAAAACTTTTTTTACCAAAAAATCGAGTCAATTTTGGGCTTTTGAATGAGACAAAAACCAAGCCAATTCACCATCTTTGCGCTGAAATCTAACGTGAAATAATGGGACGAGACTACAAATTGTTATAAATAGTACGTTGTAGTTTGGATCTTGTAGTTTGTATCTTCTAGTTTTTATCTTCCAGTTTTTATCTTCCAGTTTTTATCTTTCAGTTATTATCTTTCAGTTATTATCTTCTAGTTTTTATCTTCTAGTTTGTATCTTCTAGTTTTTATCTTCCAGTTTTTATCTTCTAGTTTTTATCTTCCAGTTATTATCTTCCAGTTATTATCTTCTAGTTTTTATCTTCTAGTTTGTATCTTCTAGTTTTTATCTTCCAGTTATTATCTTTCAGTTATTATCTTCTAGTTTTTATCTTCTAATTTTTATCTTCTACTTTTTATCTTCTAGTTTGTATCTTCTAATTTGTATCTTGTAGTTTGTAGCGCTTATGTCTACTTTTACAGCTTCAAGATACACCAAGATGTCAACGATTACTTCTTTTATTAATTCTAAATTAATTTCCAGGGAATTCCATTCATTCGCTTGTCTCCTGTTGGAATCAATGTCCGAATCGATCAGATTGATGATGGGAAATTGTTGGATATGATTTGGAAGACTTTATTCTGGCTGGTAAGTCGTACTTTACTCTACTTTGTACTGGATTTCTCTGTACCTTTTAAATGTAAACGTTTTTCAGTACGAGAACGTGAATCAGGTGGACAAGCTCGGCGAGTTGTTGTTCAAATTGCATTCGGATCCCGCGGAAAGAGGCCGACAAAGGAGATCGAATACGATTTTGTAAATGGAAATGATTCCTAGTGTCTATTCACCTTTTTTACATCAAAAATCTTTTTTTAAAACTCAAATCTAGCTATTGTAAATCCAAAAAAGGAATTTTTCGTTTCTTTAATCTTTTTCGTTTCTTGTAAGCCTCAAAAAGAGAGCTTCATCAAGCTTTAGCGTCTTTTATAATCGACTCTTTTAAGCAATGGATTAACAATGGTCTAGAGTTTTTTTTAAAACGATTTTGTCCAGGTTAGGATGGAAGTTTGGGTCTAGCCTGGCTTCGGAAATGGCTTTGGCTTTGCTCTGGCAAGACTTGAGCCGGTCAAAAGTCAGGTTCTGATCTGTTTTTTAGCCTGGCTTGGCCTGGCTTGGCCTGTCTTGGCCTGTCTTGGCCTGGGTTGGCCTGTCTTACCCTGTCTTGGCCTGGCTTGGCCTGTCTTGGCCTGGCTTGGCCTGGGTTTGCTAGACAAGCCTGTCTGTCTGCTAGACAGGCCTGTCTTTGCTAGAGTGTGTTCCTCGCGAGTAAATGCGTTTTTTTAAGACGCACATTTGGGAAAAACTATTGTGAAACTGTGAAACTGTGAAAAATTTGTGCGAAAAAATCATGAGCCGGCTTATATACGATTCCTTTTAAAGATATTCAGCTTTTTTAACTGATTTGGTGGGAAATTACCAGCAATTTTTCTAAGAAAAGAAAAGAAAAGGATGTCGTCATAATTCGCGGTCTGTTTTTATCACCCTTAGTAAGCTAAAATTGTTGGTTTTCCTGTAGGATTGTGGTTTATTTTAAAGTTGAAAGTTTCTTTGATGTTTATAGTTTAATTTAGTGGGCTCGGGTGGTGGTATTATCGTACTTTTAACGAAAATTATTGAGAAAAATCTCACGAGCGCCGACTTATACGATTCCTTTTAAAGATATTCAGCTTTTTAAATGATTTGGTGAGAAATTCCCGTCAAATGTAAAGAAATGTAAAGATATTCAATTGACTCGACGTGTCAAGAGGATTACCTCGTAGTTACTCGATCAAAAAACATCGATTAATCGAGTAAAAAGTACTTATGCAAGTTTTACTCGAGTAATTACTTCCTCGCTAGGAACACACTCTAATAACGACTGATAACAAGCGTGCAGAACAGAATTCGATAAATCAATAACGATACCCGCGTGAATAAATTTAGTCCTCGCTAGGAACACACTCTAGCCTTTGCTGAAAGCTCATGAAAGCCAGGCCAGACCTGTACCTGGTTTTGAAGTCAAGAAAATCCCTGAGCATTCTGTTCATTAGTATGTCCATGGTAAACGGTTAACAATGTAACTCTGATTGAATCCCGTTTCCCAAACAATCTGACTAAGACATTGACATCGATCATACTCTTATTCACATCACTTTTTAATATGTATCTATTTCTTTAATTTCAATCTTCCAATAGAACGGTGAGTCCTTACTTACGTGGATATGATCGATGTATGATCGATGAGTATGATCGATGTATGATCTATGAGTGTGATCAATGCCAATGTCTTAGTCAGATTGTTTGAGAAACGGGATTCAATCAGAGTTACATTGTTAACCGTTTACCTGGACATACTAATGGACAGAATGCTCAGGGATTTTCCTGACTTCAAAACCACATCACTTTTTAATCTATTTCTTCAATTTCAATTTCTGTATCTATTTCTGTATCTATTTCTTCAATTTCTATATCTATTTCTTTAATTTCAATCCTCCAATAGAACGGCGAGTCCTTACTTTAAAAAAAAAACCGGTATTCTATGTATTTATTCAAGTTTATTATTTAAACAATTTGATCCTTTTTATGCAAAAATTTTATTGCAAAATTTCTTTTATTTCAATTCCTGTGATTCTCTGTTTCTCTCGATTCTCTCCGAGTGTTGCCATGTTTTTCAAAAGCTTTTTTCTTCCTTTACAATCAGCTTTTAGAAATCACGATCGAGAAACTATTGTTACTTTTAGCTTTTCCTATTTTTTTTAGGGTTTTCTATATTGTGAAATATGTGATACGAGCGATTACGGTAGTGCGAGAAGAAGAATGAAAAAAAAAAGAAATCCCCGTGTTATTTAATAATAATACTTTATTCAAACGATAAAGTGAAAGAAATCATAGAGAAATGCACAGTGATACTTAATCATACAATACATACTGAAATCAATAAGCCAATTACTTACGGCAAAGAGCCACTAGATCTAAAGCATCGATACGTTTCTTGAATATGAAAAGCGACTGAATTTCTCGTATGTCGTTTGGGAGCAAGTTCCATAATCTAGCGGCTCTAACGGGAAATGAATTTGATAAAGAGGCATTGGAAGCAAAGGGAATTTGCAAAAGGAATGAGCCACTTCTGGGCCCTGACCGCGGTTTAAATTTGAAAAAGTCTATAAACAAAGGGCTAATCTGTTTACAACGGAGGATTTTGAAAGTTTCGACTAAATCAATGACAAAGCGACGATGCTGTAAAGTTTTTAGTTCAAAAAAAGCAAGTCTCTCCTCATAAGTAAAGCTAGAATATTTAGAATAGTATATGTACTTATTTGTTCTTAAAAATATTAACACTTTAATGGTTGATAAAATTTTGCATACAAAATTTGGCATACACTTTCAGATTCTTTTATCCCATATGTTTAAATCTCTTCCACTTACTCTCTAAGATCTCTTGGTGTAGATAAATCAGCTTTCGAGTCTAGATTCTATCACTAAACTACCAGCGACGGAAAAAAAAACAGCAAATATTTAATTATTATTATTTTCCACAAACACTTGAATCTTTTCTTCTTCTTCTTTCAAATTCTTTTATCTGTCAGCTCCGCGCCAAACTGATATTTTAGTTACTATTGTTATCATTGAATGCTTTGTCTAATCTTATGCAAATGTGTTCTCCTCTGTGCTTATCCCTTTTATTTTCGAGAAGGGGCGGTCCTTAGGATTGCCTAGGAGGACAAATGAGACTCTCATTAGGAGTCCCCCTCCCCCCACTCATTTCTAATCTATTCCTCTTATGGTATTACTGTAAATAAAGATATGTATCTTCCGGGTCTATGCAACTGCAGTACAGGTCGGTCATTTCACACGGACTCCCCTCTAATACGTTGGAGGAGTTGAGTTGGGTTGTCGGGGTGTTAGAGATGGCGGGAGATCAAAAAGGGATCCACTCTCTTTAACATAACCCAAATTCTAGTCCACATCCGTTTACACCTAGGAACGTATATATCCCATAAACCAAAAAAGATTTATGCTTGTATTGAAATGAAATTCATAAAGAAAAACCCAAAACAACACCCTTTTTCAAAAGACACTCAAATTTAAAACATTTTACATCAGAAAAAGAAAGAATAAGAAAGAAAAAGAAAGAAAAAGAGAATAAGAAAGAATAAGAGAATAAGAAAGAAAGAAAAACAAACACCCGAATAGTAATAAACTCATTAAAATGATAATCTTAAGAAAGAGAAAGAGGAGAACTTTTTAGAAAACTTTATAAACTTATTGATTTTCTAAATAAACAAGATTTTCTTTAAAACTAAAACTAAAAACTTTCCATTTCGGTGAGCTCTGGAAACTCGTTTGATCGAGTCATTGTTGCGTATCTAAAAATCTTTTTAAATTTAAAGTCTAATGCATTCATTTTTAAGTGATATCTTGATTATTTAAAATCAAAAGTAAGCCAGCCAGCAAAGTTATGATTTCTTTTCTTTAAGATACCTTCTTTTAGAGTTTCTAAATTAAAGATTAAAGTTGAAATAATTAAAATTTGAAACGATTAATCGTCGATTAAGCGTTTGTTTTAACGACTATTCAGCTAAGATTCAGCTAAGAAGAGAAGATTAAATGGATATGCTGATCAATTCACATCAACTATAGATCATTTGACGCAGAATTTCACGCTGATTATTTAAAATCAAAAGTAATCCTGCTAGAAAGTTATGATTTCTTTTCTTTAAGATACCTTCTTTTAGAGTTTCTTATTACAGACTATTCAGCTAAGAAGAGAAGATTAAATGGATATGCTGATCAAATCAGATCAACTATAGATCATTTGACGCAGAATTTCACGCTGAATCCGAATCTGCTTTCCGTTTCTGTTAAAGAGCACTCTATCAAAAGTTATATGCGTTTAAAGTTTTGCAAGGAAATCAAACGCACAAAAACCAGAATGCTACATTACAACCCTGTATTCCGCGAGCTAGAAGACACCAACGGTGGCCGAATGATAGTGAGTTATGCTTTCTAAGCTTTCTTGGAGCTAGGGCTCTCTGGTTTAAGTCTTATGGTTGATCGTTTTTCTTAATTTTAATGGTTTTAATGCCAGTCTCCGTTTTAGAAAAGTTTTATAATACTTTTTAGTGTTTTAATCCGCTTTTTAATTGGCATTGGATAGTTATTTTGCTAAGTTAAATTAAGGTATTAAAGGCTGTGACATGGGAGGAGACTACATGAAAAAAAAAAAAACGCTCTTTCTGGCACATTTGTTTCTAATTTTTCTTTTAAATTCAACCAAAAATTACCTGATTTTGAAGAAAGCAAAGCATTTGTACATTACATAAGTAAAGAAGATGCAAAGTGAAGCGTAGAGGAGAATTGGAAGCACCAAATAGAAGAGGGGAGTACTGGAATCACATTGATTTCCATTTGATACAGGGAATCACATTTGATTTGATTTGATCAATCATTATTGATTTGATCAATCATCAATCATTTATTTGCCTTTTCTTCAATAAAATTTACTTACCTAAAAAACACGGACGGTACTTTCCCTTTCGAGCTTTGTTCTTTGACCAAAATCATCCATGTTGAGAGGTCAGAGTAAGCGCCAAGCGTTAACTGAATGGGGCTTTATTTGTGTTCTAGCAATTGAAATCGTTTTCAATTGCTAGATCTTTAGATCTTTACATTTGGTATTCGGAAAAAATCTAGCTCATACTTGAGACACAATGAACGGGATCAAAAAGTAGTGCTTGTGCTTCCACAATCCAAAATAGGCGATAGCTACCGTAATCAATTGGCAACACCTAGAAGTTAACATTTTTACGAGAAAGTTTTTGCTATTAGATTGGAAAGAAAGTTTTCGGAAAGAGTAGTGCTTGTGATTTCTTGTTTGCACGATGATTTCTCGAAAACAAAGCCATCAATTCATCCAAGATAAACTTGAATATACCGTATTTCTTCGAATAGAAGACTTCGAAAGAGTATCATCGCGTACTCCTGCGTAGCAGCCCTTTTTAAAATTTTTTCTGCATAAAAGCTTTCAATGAAGTGCTATAGGGCTGGAAAATGACTCAAAAATACGACATGAGCTAACAGACTTTTGAGCCATTTTCCAGCTCTATAGCACTTCATTGAAAGCTTTTATGCAGAAAAGAAATTTTAAAAAGGGCCGCTACGCAGGAGTACGCGATGATACCCTTTACCCGGTCTTCTATTCGAACAAATACGGTATTTCAAAAAGTTTTAGACAAAAAAACAATTAGAGTTGGCTTCAGATAAAGGCTTGGCTGTTTTAAAGTTGGCTACAGCTGTTCTAAAGTTTGCTTCAGCTGTTCTAAAGTTGGTTTCAGCTGTTCTAAAGTTCGCTTCAGCTGTTCGAAAGTGGAGCTTTCAAATGATAGCTTTCCAGGCTTTCAAATGATGTATTAGGTTGGAAAGAAAGTTGTCGGAAGAAAGTTTGCACGATGATTTCTCGAAAACAAAGCCATCAATTCTTCCGAGATTTTTGAAAACTTGACTATATTTCAAAAAGTTTTAGACAAAAACGATTAGAGTTGGCTTCAAGTAAAAACAAAAGGAGAGATTTCTTCAGCTGAACTGTCACTGTCACTTTTTAAGTCAGCCTTTAGACAAGTTTTTAATAGGTTAATGAATAGATAGTGAATCGATTCAAAACCTAAAATCAAGTACTTAAAATAAGGAAAAATTTGTGATAAAGGCAAATTTTGATCTAATTTAATCTAATTAACTTTTCAGCTATCACCTTTCAGCTATTTCAGCTATCTTAGCTAGCTATTTCAGCTATCTCAGCTAGCTATTTCAGCTATCTCAGCTAGCTATTTCAGCTATCTCAGCTATCACCTTTCAGCTATTTCAGCTATCACTATAACAAACACACTCAGTGTCAAGAAGATGACAGGAAAAAAAAAGATTTTTTTTGAAACACAGCTTCACTGTAAAAAAAATGTTAGCCAAAAATAGAGATTTAGATTTCAGCTATGCCATCAACTCATTGATAGCTGACTTCTGTTTGCTCAATTTGAAGCTAACAGAAGCTCAATTTGAAGCTAACAGAGGCTCAATTTGAAGCTAACAGAAGCTCAATTTGAAGCTAACAGAAGCTCAATTTGAATTTCATTTCCATCATCAAATCCATTTTCATGCTCGTAGAACTGAAAGACAGTTTCTCTGTAAAAAATTTGTTGGCCCAAAAATAGAGATTATAAAGCGCATTGCTTATTAAAGCGCATTGCTTATTAAAGCGCATTGCTTATTAAAGCGTATTGCTATTGCTATAAAGCGTATTGCTTAACAGCTGAAGCCAACTTTAGAACAGCTTTATCTTATAAGAAATCGTTTTTATAGTGCAAAAAGTGAGCTGAATTTAGGCTGAATTTAAGCTGGAAAATAATACCTTGTCAAAAATCTCTAAAATTTTAGACACTTGTAAATGATAGAAGAAAAGTGTTCTTGAATTGGTGGATTCGTTTTTGAGGAGATTCTACTCAAACTTTTTCTATCAAACTTTCTTTCCAACCTAATAGATACTTTAAAGTTTTTAATCTTTTAAACTTTTAAACTTTTAAACTTTTAAACTTTTAAACTTTTAATCTTTTAATCTTTTAATCTTTTACAGTTTTATTTCTACCTAATCGTTAGCAATGGAATGTCTAAAGAGATCGTCGACCAGTGGTGTCTCTTCAATGTGTAGATCATAGCTAAACTTGAATTTACAAAAAGTATTAGCATAATTATTTCAAAATCATGCTAGATATCAATATGGTAAGTGAATTAGAAAAGTGAATCAGTTTTTTAGTGAATCAATTCTTAAAGTTTTAAAGTTCTCATAAAAGAATCCTTTCATTACGAAAAATTTTTGATTTTTTTGTTAAATTCTAGCTTATTTATAGTATTATAATTAACAAGTTACATTTATTTTAAAAGTTTTAAAACTATTAGAGCACGTGTGGCTGACTGGTTAAGTGTCTTTTATCTTAATCGGAAGGTCGAGGGTTCGAACCCCACATGCGACATGGTCACCCCCTTCGGATTTCCTTTCCCTTCGGGTTGAGAGGTTTTCTGGAGGGCAGTCTGGTGGTTGTGGCCCCAGTTCTTTAAAGTGACAAGCCACTCCTTCATCGTCATCTTCCCTTCACCACCAAAAAAGCTATTTAGTTCCCCATTGAGCTTAGGGTTAGGGAGCCGTCTGTCATGACGTGGGTTAAGTTAAGATATAGCCTAGTATTGTGTGTGTCGTTGTATTGTGATTGATATATTTCGTGTATGCGATAAATTCACCACTGGTAGCCCCAGTCGGTATTTTTTTAGGTTGATGCATAAGTGTTTTTGTTCCTTTTCGTCTGCCGTTTCAAGCCAACAAATGCACGAATTAAACTACGGTTGATTTCATTAGAAAAAGCAATTATTTTTGTGCAAAATAACATTAAAACGGGTTTAAAAATCTTTAATGCCTGGATTTTCTTGAGAGTATGAAGTCGGGTAGTCAAAAAGGGCTAACTCGATGATGCGGTTTAGACACCTTAGCTAAAGAAAACCTATCTTCGTGTCAATAGATAAAAGATAGAGAAAAAAAACGTTTGATATTTCGCCAAAATTTCAGAGAAATTCATTCAGCCAATTTTTCCGTAGAGTTTTTTATAGATTTTTACGAAAAAGGCGTTTTTCACTCTCGAATTTGCTTCAAAGTGAACCGAAATTCATTTAAAAAGATGCTAATTGAACAAAAAAACACTTTTTTTATAGAGCAAACTATAGATTAATTCGTGAATTTGTTACTTTTTAACAGAAGTACGAAAAAAACGAAAAGACTTTTGCATCAACCTATTAGTTCTAGACTAGTTCTAGACTAGTTCTAGACTAGTTCTAGATTGGTTCTAAACTAGTTCTAAACTAGTTCTAAACAACTTTTCCGTGTTCATTTACCTATTGCAATCTCGTGAGCAAAGAATGAAGTGAATAAATAGGCGCCGATTTTCGACGAGAACCGCCCGAAGCAACACCGAGCTGCCACTCGACGCCGATCAACTGTTGAAGTGCTTGGCTCCTAGAAAATCGAGTTAGAGTTTGATTAGGGTTTGATTAGAGTTTGATTAGAGTTTGACTAGAGTTTGTCTAGAGTTTGTTTAGAGTTTGATTAAAGTTATCTAAATGAAAAAATAGCAAAATCTATTCCTTATTCTTGTTTTTTATTGTAAAACAAACTTGAAAAGGCACTTCCGCGTCTTCATCGACCATCTCTTCGTTTACTCATCCAGCATTGTTCTTTTTCATCATTTCAATCAATATCTTTCAAAAGCTAAATGCCAATTTGATCAAAAGAGACATTGGAAAGGAAAAGAATCACTAATTCGATGAACAAACGTTGAAAAAACGTTGATGAAACACTGAAAAAGTTGATTTTTCAAAGTGATTTCAAGTTTTTAATCAAAATTTCTTCTAAAGAATTGATAAAAGAATAGTTTTTTAAAGGAAAAACCTTTAAAAAACTGTTTTTAAAGAGAAAAACCTTTAAAAAAACTGTTTTTAAAGGAAAAACCTTTAAAAAAAAACTCTTTTTAAAGTTTTTAATTAAAAATTTCATTTAAAAGAATATTTAAAAGAAAACAAAAGAATAAGCACAATTTTTCGAGCGTTCTTCAATCAAAGCGATCAAACAAACTTCCAATAACACATAGAAAAGGAAAAGAACAAAAAAGAATAAATAAACAAATAAAGAATAAATAAACAAATGAATAAATAAACAAATAAAGAATAAATAAACAAATAAAGAATAAATAAACAAATATAAAAGCACGTAAATAGCTAAACATTGTGCTTAAAGTTAGTTGGAAAAGTTAGAACTTTGAAAAAGAAATAATATTGGGAAACTTTTCTCTTATTACTCAAATGCTTTATCACTACGACACAACAAAAGCAACTGTTTTTCAGAGAAAATTTGAAATATTTATCACAGAAAGTCTAGCATTTATCATCCTTTTAATATATAAAGTTTTCTATTATTTAAACGTTAACTTTTCTAAGTTAATTCCAATAGGATTCCAATAGTTAATTCCAATTCCAATTCCAATAGTTAACTCCAATTATTTAGCCAAACAATTTCCTTATGAAATAATATAGAATTGAATAAGATCACTGGACAAATAGCTAATGAAATAATATAGAATGAAATAAAGAACTTACTAGAGAAAGTCGCCAACTTAAGATGGAATTACAAAAAGAGAACTATCCTATCTTGTTCAGTTTTTAAGATAAAAATTGTTGACAAGGGAGTCGAAATCGGGCCAAACGCTTTGCACCCGAAAGCACTACCTCTCGGCCACAAGGACATACTTGAATCCAAGCGAGGAATTCTTACAAAGGGATAGCTTACAGTCTTGCAGCAGTCTTACAAAGGGATAGAGTTAGCTCCCTCTGGTGTAAGGATCAAGTGCGTTGTGGTGTAATGGTTAGCACAGTAGCCTGGTAAGCGAAAGGTCGCGAGTTCGAGTCCCGAAGGGGCACTATTTTGATCTGCCATAGTTCCAACGGCTAAGCTAAATTCTTTGCGGATTCGGAAAGGATCTAGGAAAAACTAAGGGGGGATTGGAAAGCCAAACTGAACAAGATAGGATAGGTGTCGTTTTGAGATTCTAGTTGTTTTCTAGTGAAGAGTAGAAGAGGTTGCTGATCTTAAACAACCAATCTATAAAATATTGCCACAAGCATCGTTCAAATGGGAGTAGGTCGATGTAGGTTGATGGGCAAAGAAAAGAGAGAGAAAAGGGAACAGGGTGATGATGGATTTTTGAGTGCGTCCACCAAAGAATGAAAAGAGAAAGGGAAAGAGGAAGGGAAAGAGAAAGGGGAAGAGAAAGAGAAAGAGAAAGAGGAAGGGAAAGAGAAAGAGGAAGGGAAAGAGAAAGAGAAAGAGAAATGGACGCCACCGACTTGCACTAAATGGCCGGTTGAAAGAGAAAAGAGATGCGAGACGCAGATTTGCGAAGAGAATTGCAAGAGAACACAAGAGAACACTCGCGATAGGACCCATTCAAAGGGTGAGTCGATGAACGATCAACAATGAGGTTACGAAATTGCTTTTTTTGACTCAGCTAAGCTTTTCAAAGGCTAAGTAGCCTTTGAAAGGTCTTGCTGAATCTTTTTTAAATGATACAACAGATTTCAATACTTGGACTGAATTGCAGCTTGCAGGAAAGCCTTTTGCTTCGTTTCAAAGAAGATTTCGCGCTAAAATTTAGCTACTGTTTAAGTAAGATGGTTTGTATGGTTGGTTGTTTTAGCAAGATGCAGAACTTGTAGCATATTGAGCCTGTCATATCTCTTTGAAACTTTTCTTATTGAAACAATAAAGATTTAATGCGTCGATGAATAAAAATAAACATAATTGAAAAATAAGCATAATAAATAATAACCTTTTATACTTTAAGAACAAAAAGGAGAGATTTTCGCGGCAAGAGGAATTGAACCCGTGGAAACGAACCGCTCAGGTTTTAGAACCTAGCTCACTATCCCCTAGGCCAATGTTCTTTGTGCGGTCGCGTAATCGCTTACGATCTGGCAACTTCAGCTATAACATGGTCCCACGCCGAGACGGCCGCCGGTTTTCTTCCGCTTCGGCGTGAGACCATGTTATAGCTGAAGTCGCCAGATCGTAAGCGATTACGCGACCGCACAAAGAACATTTCGTCAATCATTTAAATTTCTTTTTTTGCTTTATTAATGGTTTAAAAAGAAGATATTGGGCTCTAAATTTGGACCCTGGGGTTTTCGGGGTCGGGGAATTGATTGGCACTATTCATTTTATTAAGTCTCTAGGAAAACTACGATTTTTTAAAAACAGAGATGAAGTTTAGATATAGAGGTTTAAACTGAGGTAAATAAGTTTAAACCAAGTTGTTTGACAGATCAGGCAAATCAGTTTGACAAGTTGACTCATTTTTGGCACATATATAGGTCATGATTCGACTAATAGCCACTCTAAAAATCTAGAATCAAAGTTCTAGAACGAAAAGCTCTGACTCAGCTTTACCAGCTGCAGACAGCTTTTCTATGTGATTTTTTGTGAAAATCGACATTCAAAAGCCTTTCTTTTTAAGCATTTTAGGCATTTTAGACATTTTTCTAAGATTTCTTTGAGAAATTTAAGTTTAAATTTAAATGAAAAGCGAAATTCTGTCTTTTTGGCAGAGAGAGATGGACACAAGGATCCCCATGGAAAAAGGAAAACGGTGCTTTTCTTTTCTAGAAAGATCCCTGTTATTGAACTCCGTTTTTCCTCGTTTTCCCCCCTCATTTCCCCCTTCTTTTCCCCTTTTGTCGTTGCGAATAGCTTCGAAAATCTTTCTTTACCCATTTCCCTGCCAATCCCCTCCCCATCCTTCCATCAACCTTCCCTCTAACTTGACTTGATCCCAATCTTTTTCCAGACATTTCTATTGATTAGATTAAAGTTTAGGTATTCGTTTAGGTATATTTAAAAAGAACAGAAATTTGGCTCTAACTTTTCGCCCTTTTATCGGATCTAGTTCAATCAAAAAATTTATCACATTTATCGATGATTCTGCATCTATTGATATCAAAAACTTAGTTGAAAGAGTGCCGGAAGTACCTTGGTTCTCTAAAAGCACAAGGCTAAGCCCTGTACTTCTAGAGAATACTAACATATTTATTGATTATCAAAGGTGTTCTTTGTTCTGTGTAAAGTCCTTAGCGAAATGTTCTTTGTGCAGCCGCGTAATCGTTCGTCGTCTGGCGCACATTGATGGTAGATAGATTCCCTTCCAGCGATTGATTAAAGTCCCTTCCATCGATTGATTTGAATCCCTTCCATCAATCGACAAAGTTCAATTATATTTCAAAATTCCTATCAAAAAGCAATTTTATCATCCCATTTTGCCATCAGCAATACCTAAACCTAAAATTTCCCCATTTCCCCATTTCCCAACTCTGATAACAATTGAATCGACGCAAGAATGCGATTTTTGTTTTTATTGATCCTTTTAAACCTTTTTTTTAAATCTTTGTTTACCAGACTGACTCTGTTTTTCAAAAAGATAAAAGTCAGCCACCATTTTTCTCCTCTAATCGATCCATCGTTAACCTAAAGTCACAAATAAGAATAACAAATAAGAAGCTCCGCATTTAGTTGATGGGCAATTGAAGGCCTTTGAACTTTTTGAAGTGTTATATTGGAATTTACACTTTCTCTTTTTATATATTTGGTTTATTTTGATTGATTGATCTCGAAATGATCATTTCCGATGATCAAGTTTCGTTTAGGATTTGGCTCAATCCAGACTTGGCTCAATCCAAATCTATTACTGGGGATGTTCAGAGATTTGACATTCATTTTCAACTGATACCTTTCAAAATTGGGATTAGTGATTACCCATTCAATTTAAGTTATTGAAATCAATTTCTATTCTAGAAACAAAATTTAGCTAACAGATTAGATCAAATCAGATCACCTTTCAAGTGACACCACTCCTAGAAAAGTTCAAAGCCGAATTTCAAACTAACTTTTATCTTTCTTATCATAAAAAGCTTTTACAATCGTTTCTTATGAAGTATAAAAGAAAATAAGCTTCAGCCTAATTTCATTTCTCTATTTTAGCTTAACAATTGTTAGCTTTATGTTTAGTTTTATGTTTAGCTTTATCTTTAGCTTTATGTTTAGCTTTATGTTTAGCTTTATCTTTAGCTTTATCTTTAGCTTTAGCTTTATCTTTAGCTTTATCTTTAGCTTTAGCTTTATCTTTAGCTTTATCTTTAGCTTTATCTTTAGCTTTATCTTTATCTTTATCTTTATCTTTATCTTAAAAGTCTTAAATAAGAGAAAGCTTTCAGCCTTGACCTTAGCTTTTAAGAACAATCCTGCTTACAATAATAAATTAGCCATTAAACCCGTCGAACAATCCTGCTTACAACACTAAATTAACCATTAAACCCGTAGAATATTAGAGCAAAGACAGAAAAGATCGATAAGCAATAAAATCTAAACGTCAGAAGGTTAGCCTTGTCCATACCTACAAACTCTTCCATTTTTTGTTCGACTCTAGCACTAAACTTTTAAAACATCGTTATGTCTAAAGTGTCTATTACTATTACTATTACTATTACAAAAAGATCTATTATTTCAATATAAAGCTAATATAAAGCATTTCATTTAACCAAAGCATCTAATAGAAAGAGTTTTATAAAAGATGGCTAATCTGAAAAGAAAAAGATGATTCTTTTATGATAAGATTCCATTGGATCAACAAGCTTCTTGTTGACTGATCCCTTTGAAATCTCGTCACCAAATTCCACCCGCTATCAACTCCAAAACAAATATTCTGTATTTTGTGACAATTCCTCTTGAAATTAACTCCAACTTTCATTTTGTTATCTCAATTTTAAAAGCAAACCTTCAACTGTTTTCTTTTTCTCATCATTTCTAGATCTTTTCCTTTTCCAGAAAGAAAATCGGACATGAAAACTACGCAAAATATGTCATCTTTTTTGAAAGATCGGCTAAAAGATTAAATTTTTTCAAAAATTTCTTTTTAAAAGCATCTTTTTTGATCGTGTCTGAATTGTTTTTCAGATTTTTTTTTCGATTCTCAAAACGACGCCAAAACATTAAATACATCCTTTTTCTCCATCTCTCTATTTATATCATTGCATTCATCTTTCAGCTAAACGATTTGAACGAAAAGTTGCTGTTGCTGTGACTTTGTAAACCAGAAGGCAAATCCAAGCTTTGGTAAACCAGAAGATAAAGCCAAGCTTGGTAAACTAGATGACAAATCCGAGCTTGGTAAACCAGAAGGCAAATCCAAGCTTGGTAAACTAGAAGGCAAATCGAAGCTTGGTAAATCAGAAGGCAAATCCGAGCTTGGTAAACCAGAAGGCAAATCCAAGCCTGGTAAACTAGAAGGCAAATCGAAGCTTGGTAAATCAGAAGGCAAATCCAAGCCTGGTAAACTAGAAGGCAAATCCAAGCTTGGTAAATCAGAAGGCAAATCCAAGCCTGGTAAACTAGAAGGCAAATCCAAGCTTTGGTAAACCAGAAGATAAAGCCAAGCTTGGCTACAAGTCAGGCCATAGACCAAGAATTATTGAACAAGTTTCTAGTCAAGTCTAGTCTTGGCTTTTGACAGCACAACTTTTATGGATCAAATGTGCAACATAGTGCAACAAGCCAAGACCCAATTTAGAACCTGGCTTTAGTCGACCTTATTTAGCTAGGGTAATACAGCGATAAGCTTATCCATTGCTAAGTACTTTGTGCTCCCAAAGCTTGTAAACATTTCCTGTCTGGCAGATTCACTTACATTACGCTTTTTAGGCATTCTTCTTACAGAAAACAAAATCCAATTTCCAATTTTCGAACTTTCTTGACTTTAAAGTCTTTTTATGTCTTTTTTATTTAAAGATTCATTTCTTTTTCAATAATTTCTTTGTTTTCCAATGTTTCTAGAAATTAATCCACAATATATAATCTTTATTTGAAACAGAATACAGTAAGCCATTAACCTTTATTTAAAACTGAATACCATCAGTTTCTCAGACTTGATCAATTCGTCTTTGAACTCTTGATCTCTCAACATTTGTCCAGACTTTCCTTGTGTACTTTGTGCTCAAAACCCACACCATCTGGCATTTACATCCAGCATAAAATATAGCTTGAACTCAACTTCCCCAGCTTTCCCAGCTTTCCCAGCTTTCCCAGCTTCCCCAACTTCCCCAACTTCCCCAGCTTCCCCAACCTCCCCAGCTTTCCCAGCTTTCCCAGCTTCCCCAACTTCCCCAACCTCCCCAACCTCCCCAGCTTTCCCAGCTTTCCCAGCTTTCCCAGCTTCCCCAACTTCCCCAACTTCCCCAACTTTACCCAATCGTATGATCTGATCTCGCTTTGAGCGCTCCTCTGACCACAATTGGATATTTATCGTCTATCAGCCAAAAAAAGAAGACTGTCTCACCCATAAAAATGATAACCTTAGGATAGGGTGATCGGGGAAAAGACAAAAAAATAGCGACAAGAGAGCAGAGTTCGTTCACAGGTCAGCCCACTGGTTGCGGGAAAAGTGCCCCTTGCCCCTTGTCTTTTTTATCTTTTTTTGCTTTGTCTTGTTCATTCTTGCCCAACGATTGCCACCAAAAGACATTTCTTGAGACATAAACACCACCTATTTCTCAAGAAATGTCTTTTATATTAGTAATTATGCATTGTACTAGTTGACCATAGTACAATGGATCAGAATTTGTTCAATGAACTCAGTTCAACTTTCTCTAATCAACTCAAATTTCGTGGATCTTTCCCCATGCAATTTACTAGCTTTGCAATCATTCTAAGTGTTAAATCAAAAGAAATTGAAAGGAATTTTTTTTTTTTTTAGATTATCACCGGATTCTCGTTCATTTACTAACTTGCTTACATGCAAATCTTGAATATATTGAACTTAATCAATAAATTCAACTCTTAAATCCTAGTCCAAGTCAAAAGCAACAGTGTAAAGCTTAAAATCAGCTTATTAAAAATACATTTAATAATGTGGTACAAACAATATACAAGCAAGAACTAAATGTAGGGAAAAAAGCCACAGAAAAATGCTGGTTGCCGGGATTGAACCCTTGACCTGTCGACTAAGACGCAGGGTTCCTAACCAGCCAGCTATGACAGTCATGGTCGACAACAAAAGCTTTAAAGCTCACAATCAGCTGATGGTCAGATTTTGAATTTTTAGAATTTCAGAGCTTTAGTTAGCTTCTACTATTTATAGACACTTTAAAACACTTAAAAATTGATTTACTTCCTTAACTTTAAAGTTTTAGCGATCGAAATCGAGTTTTAGTCATCTTAATCGAGTTCTAGTCATCTTAAACGAGTTCTAGCCATCTTAATCGAGTTCTAGCCATCTTAATCGAGTTCTAGCCATCTTAATCGAGTTTTAGCCATCGAAAGTTAAAAAGTCAAAAGTTAAAAAGACTCTAAAATAGTTGAATATTCTAAGTGAATACTATTTCTACAAGTTTCCCAGTTAAGTTGATTGTTTTATTGAGAGCTGGGCCTCTTGGCCTGATTGCCTGATTTCTGATTGCCAAAGCTTCTGGCCTTTCTCTCATCTATTCCAGCTATTGAAAACATAAATTGAAAGCTAGATTTAGTTCTTAAAACTAGTCATTTATAGAAATTAAATGAAATGAAATTAACTTCAAAGCAAATTTCGATATTCAAACTAATATCCAAGTGAAATCTTTTGGCAGGAATTGTTGAGGGATCGAGCCTCTTGGCCTTTCTCCCATTCTCCCATTCACAACCACGTATTTTGTGTTCCCCCAATGTCCCTTTTTTTCGCTCTTTTTTCGCTCTTTTCCCATTATCTGCCCCCTATCTGTCTGTAAAATACGTTTGCATAGCTGTCTGTGTATATCTGTGGCAGTCGTGTCTCTTCCCCTCCCCATTCCCCTACATAAACTCCGCCCCATCACCCATCCTTCGCCACTATTCCAACCGTTTTCATTCAACAATTTTGTCGAGCTGTATCTGAATTTCTATTTTTAGATCGTCTTGTAATTGTTTTTGAATTCACTTTAAACTGAAACATTATTAAAGTTTCGTTTGAGATTTCAGTAAAATAAAGCTCTAATTACCGGAGACTACTACTGGAGATTTATATCAAATAGCTGATCAAATAACTGATCAAATAGCTGATCAAATAACTGATCAAATAGCTGATTAAATCAAATAAATAGACGAATAGATTACTGTAGATTCACAGAGATTTCTAGCTTTAGAAGAAACTCTTCAACTCCTAGAGCAGCCTCTTCACAGGCGCAGTGCTTTAAATCTAATAGCTTACATTTAGTTGTACAATAACTGCTTTATAAGTCTCATGAGTCTTAGAGAATTCAATTCTAAACCCAGCTATACCCCTTTCATTTTCCATTTCATTTCCGGCATCTCACTATCACCCCATTTCAAGCATTTACTATCTCTTTTCTGTCAAATTTCTCTTTTCTCCCTTTCCCCTCACGTGTTTTCCAATCCCAATTCTCATATTTATCTTTAGCCTTCACCTCTCCATTCCCCATTCTCACATTCATCTTCAGATAGCTTGGATAACAAAAAATGGCTCCTTCAACGTTCCTCTTCACATCGGAATCCGTCTCTGAGGGACATCCCGACAAGATGTGTGACCAGGTTTGTACAACTTTAAGGAACTAAATCTTGGAACTTAATCTAGAAACTCATTCTAAATGAAAGTCTATAAGCTATCTAAAGTCTATAACCTAGCTAAAGCCTATAACCTATCTAAAGCCTATAACCTATCCAAAGCCTATAACCTATCTAAAGCCTATAACCTATCTAAAGTCAATTACTGCTTAAAAAGTGAGCCAATCTAGCTCTCGCCTTGTTCTTCAGTATGTAAACGCTTTTCTATAGCACGGAATTCTTGATTTCACTTACAAGAACAAAAAAGGAGAATTAAGTGCACCAGAACGTGTTTGCAAAAGCACAACGTAGCCCCAGTTCGCCTAGATTTAGTACAATAAATTTTAGAAATATTTTGTTAGCGATATTAGCACAATATTATGGCACAAGCTGATTCGTGAACCTTTTTTAGATCTCTGATGCTGTCCTTGACGCTCATCTTGCCCAGGATCCAGACGCAAAAGTGGCTTGCGGTTTGTGTTTTTGCATGTTTTTGTTTTTCAAAGAAACACTCCTTTCACTATTCTTCTAATTGTTGTCAATCAATTGTTAATCACCTTTTTGTTATTCAAATCACAGTCACCTTAGTGCCAGGTACAGAATAACGATGAAAAAGTAGAACAGTACTTTAGTACTATGGCTACTTTGTAGTACTATGTACTATGCTATCAAGTACTTGTACTATGAAACACTTTGTAGTACTATGTAGTATGCTGTCAAGTACTTGTACTGTGAAACACTTTGTAGTACTATGTAGTATGCTGTCAAGTACTTGTACTGTGAAACACTTTGTAGTACTATGTAGTATGCTGTCAAGTACTTGTACTGTGAAACACTTTGTAGTACTATGTATCTTGTACTGTGAACACTTTGTAGTACTATGTAGTATGCTGTCAAGTACTTGTACTGTGAAACACTTTGTAGTACTATGTACTATGTACTATGTACTATGTATGGCGCTAAGCTGAGTGCATTACAAGTGAAAGGGGTGTTATTAAGTGGGAAAGGGCTCTAAGCTGTAAGCTGTTCTAGCTGAATCTTTTTAAAGCTATCAAACGAACTATTCAAAACGAATGACAGCTTCGTTTCCTTTCCCAAACTGATCCCCCAAATCTCTTTTGCGGTGACCTATCCTGAACAGCGTTGCTATTGCCAAAATGTCTAAGCATACGGTTGGAAATCTCGAATTTTTGTAGAAAATCATCAAAAAAAACGAGATTTTGTACAGAGACCGTGACTAAGACTGGAATGATAATGCTGTGCGGGGAGATCACCTCAAAAGCCCAAGTCGACTACCAAACCCTCGTGCGAAATGTGGTCAAGAAGATCGGATACGACGACTCGAATAAAGGTTTGTTTTAAGGAAAAATGAGGTTAAGGCTTTTATGAAAAAAAAAAGATGTTTTGTGTTTAAATGTAGAGATAAGGGATGGTTTTGGCTGTTGAAATGAAGAGATTTGAGTTGAAATGAAGAGATTTGAGTTGAAAGAAAGAGATTCGAGTTGAAATGAAGAGATTCGAGTTGAAAGAAAGAGATTTGAGTTGAAATGAAGAGACTTGAGTTGAGAGTTTGCCTTTATTTTAGGGTTAACTTTTATGATGAGATTTCCTATTTACTTCTTTAATTTGTGGTTACCCAAAGCCCATGTTGAGGCTCGAACTTCTGCTAGAGTAATCTTGGCTGATCTTTTGTTAAAGCTACAGGTACAGGAGGGTTTTCTACGTATTTTAGGTTCATTAAATTTTTACTTTTAATAATCTTTAGGTTATTATTTCATTTCTAGGTATAATTATTGGTTATTATTGGTTATTATTTATCTTTTGCTTGTGTATTTCAAAGAAATTCTAAATCTTTGGTAATTTGTATAATTCGTAGTGCTTCAAGTCTTAGATTTTAACTAGAAAACGTCTAGAACGTTTAGAACTTTTAGAACGTCTAGGATATCTTTTAGAACGTCTAGAATGTCTTTTAGAACGCCTAGAGTGTCTAGAACATTTAGAACGAACATTTAACTTTACTATTATTAGCTTTATCTTGTAACTTCTACAGTAACTTTCAGAGATAGTTAAATTAGTTTTAGATAGTTCTTGAGACAGTTAATTTTAGTTTTAGATAGTTAATTTACAAGTATTAAGATGGGTTTTAGTTATAGTACAGTAAAATACTTGGATCTAGGGTTAAGTAGTGCTCCAGGACGAATCAACAGAACGGGAATCAGTAGTAGTGCTCCAGGACGAATCAACAGAACGGGAATCAGTAGTAGTGCTCCAGGACGAATCAACAGAACGGGAATCAGTAGTAGTGCTCCAGGACGAATCAACAGAACGGGGAATCAGTGGACTAAGCTCTACTATTGATACTGAATCTCATTATGATATTATCTATAATATTATCTATAATATTATCTATAATATTATCTATAATATTATCTATAATATTATCTATGATATTATCTATAATATTATCTATGATATTATCTATTGTATTATAGCTATCCAAATGTTGAAATGTAGATAAGCTAGCTCTTCCCAATCATAACCAATGAAAGCGCAATCATGGCAGGCTGAGCTAGTGGACTAGATCTTTCCACAAGCTCACCATAGTCGAAAACTATACTAATTTCAGCGCTTTCAATAGCTTTCCAAGGTTTCTAAAGGCTAAACAATTGCAAGAAAACATAGAATCATTCATTTTATCAATCATTTTCTCAATTATCATTAGCATTCCAATGCTGTTCCCTTCCCACCCCAACAATTCCCAATTTCGATTTTCGTCAGGCGCCTCTCTTCCCAAAAAATTTACAATGTCCGCAAGATTTTCCTTTTTCTCTTTTTTGTGAAAAGTCGGGTTCAGAATCCATCACTTTTTTAGAGATAAGATATCGGAATTGGCTCGAGAATCGCTGTGTTTAATCCCCTGTGTTTACTGGATGGCTTTTGAAAAGAAAATTAGAGAATTAGAGAATTAGAAAGTTTCTTTGTGATTAAGTTTGACGGGGAATTTTGCTTTTCTTACTTTGGGAGAGTTCACTGATAATTAGCATTATACATTAATTGATTATCTACAATTTTTACCCATTTCTGAACTGTTAAACTAGACCAACTAGACTAGTCCACTATTGATCTAGTTTAACAGCTCAGAAATGGGTAAAAATTGTAGACAATCAAGTAATGTATAATGCTATGATCTTGAGCTTGAAATCGAAATCAGAACTGCTTAAAGCCTTTGAGCCTAAGTACGCAGATACTGCTTAAAGCCTAAGTACCTTAGGTAGTGCTCCGCTCAGCTGAACAGTTTTCTAGAATGTGTCATTTTGTCAATACCATAAAAAGCTACTGTAATCCTCTAGATTTAGACAAAATAGATAAGAATTTGTTCTCGTTTTCCCGTAGGAATTGACAAAAAATCTCTGTAAAAGAGCGAGTGTTCGAGGATCGAAAATAGATGATGCAATTTCGAATCGGATACCGATCACCAAATTGAAGGATTTCGATATTTTATTTCTAAAAGCCTTTCAGAGCAAATGTTTCTAAAATGAACATCTGATTTCCCCAGTTTTTTAAACATTCCATTGATAAACTTTCGAATCCCGAAAATCCCGAAAATCCCGAAAACTCTCATTGATAACCTTTGCCCATCCGTTCCCCAAGTAAGCCTTCATAGATATTGACTTGCACAAAAAAGGACCGTGAGAAAACGTGAGATAGGTGAATTAATAGCCTGGGAAATGCATCTCTTTATTGGTTTGTGGGAAAAGAAACGACCGGGGTTGAGCCTAAAAAATGGGGTGATATTTGGGGAAAAGGAGCATTGATTGCGATTTTGCGAGAACATTGAATGCATTGAGATTGCGCGATAAACAGATAAATAAGAGAAATAGTTGATAGCCAGAGATTGGAGAAGTAAAGAAGTTGTTGACTGTCAGATTCGATAATGAAAATAGACTAGGATTTCGTAAATTGTTTGTTAGATAGCCAAAGATTGGCTATTGGAGTCAACGCTTGGATCTTGAAGCCAACGCTTGGATCTTGAAGCCAAGGCTTGGCTATTGAAGCCAAGGCTTGGCTATTGAAGCCAAGGCTTGGATCTTGGAGCCAACGCTTGGATCATGAAGCCAACGCTTGGATCTTGAAGCCAACACTTGGACCTTGGAGCCAACGCTTGGCTATTGGAGCCAACGATTAGGTATTTGGCTGGGGGATAAGTAAGAATTGTAGACCTTGAGAACAGTGAGCCAATCATTGCCCAAATTACCAGTTAGATTGGATAACAAAAACAGATTGCAATAGCGCAATGGCTTGTAGACTTGAAGAAAGGTGTGTTGAAGACATAAACATTTGACATCCATTCATGTAGCATAAAAACAACGCAAAGAATGGAACGTTTAAAGTTAGACTATGCGACTCGACGCTGTCATTATAGCGTATTAAAGCGTATTTACGATGTAAATTTTGCATGGAAATGCAAAAATAGAGAAAAAATAAGACAAAATTTATATAAAAATATTTTAAAAGTCTAAACTCAAGCTCTCAACTCAAGAATTTCCAACTTGTAAACCATTAAAACACTGATTTGAGTCCAAATTTTAATAAAATTTATAAGCAAAAGAATAAGAATATAAAATAGAAAAAAAGAATATTACTTATAGCTTTGATTGAAACATTCCAAATTTCAGGCTTTGACTACAAGACGTGCAACGTTCTTGTAGCTTTGGAGCAACAATCACCCGAGATCGCCGCCGGTGTCCACGTGAGCAAATCCGAGGAGGACGTCGGAGCCGGAGATCAGGTGAGAAAAGATTTATAATCTTTTACATTTTGCAGTACACTTATTTTTCATCCAGTACATCGGATCTGTCAAATTTGCTTTTGATATCTTGTTGCAGTTGAATCCAATCGCAAATGTCTCATGTTTCTAGAAAAGCTGTCTACATAAGAAGAAGCTAAACAAACTGTAAATTTATAGCAATGTTAGCCCAGCAATGTTAGCAATGTTAGGGTTCAAAAACGTGATTTGTATTTGTTTGCAAAGAATTCTACTGACCCAGATTGAAAGCGGAGAGTCAACAAGTCTTCGAATTTGATCAAAATTTACTTTTCTACCTGGCTAAAGGCTAAAGATTGAAAAGATTCAAAGAAAAGTTAAATTGAAATACTTGTGAGCAAAAGCTGAGACGTTCTAAATGTTCTAGACGCTCTAGACGTTCTAAAAGACATTCTAGACGTTCTAAGAGACATTCTAGATGTTCTAAAAGACGTCCTAGACGTTCTAAAAGACGGTCTAGACGTTCTAAACGTTCTAAACGTTCTAGACGTTTTAGTTTCCATAAAGAAAATTGATTCAAAGACTTTATTCTGAAAATTCAGGGTCTTATGTTCGGCTATGCCTCGGATGAGACGGAGGAGGCAATGCCATTGACCCTCGTGCTCGCTCACCGCCTCAACGAGCACTTGCACAAGTTGAGACGTAACGGCACTCTTGGATGGGTTCGACCTGACTCGAAATCTCAAGTACGTTCAAATTATTCTATCTTTTCGCTTTCACTACAGATTCGCGTCATTGTTTTTGAGTTCGCACTTTGCTCAAAGAAATTATTACTTACGAATTTCTTTAGGTGACCATCGAGTACTCGTTCGACGGTGGAGCGTGTGTTCCCCGCCGTGTTCACACCATTGTCATCTCTACCCAGCATGCCCCAGAAATCACGATGGACCAGCTCCGCGCTGCACTCAAAGAGAAAGTGAGAGTTTGCCGATAGTTAAAGAATGAATCACTGTACAGAAATTACTGTAGAGACTAAACTTTTTCACAATTCCATTGCACGTAAGCGTCTTAATACCGGTTAATGAGCTGATAAGTATTGCATAGATTACTGTACTTGACTTAAACCAACCAACAATCCGTTTCCAGGTGATCAAAGAGGTGATCCCCGATTACCTTCTCGATGAGAACACCGTCTTCCACTTGAACCCATGCGGATCGTTCGTCATCGGAGGACCAATGGGAGGTGAGAAAAGAAAATGATATCATTAAGTAAAGCTAAACCAAACCAACTCATTTCATTTCTAGATGCTGGCTTGACTGGACGCAAGATCATCGTCGACACGTACGGAGGCTGGGGAGCTCACGGTGGTGGCGCTTTCTCTGGAAAAGACCCAACCAAAGTCGATCGCTCGGCCGCTTACGCTGCTCGCTGGGTTGCTAAGTCACTTGTCAAGGGCGGTCTCTGCAGACGTTGCCTTGTTCAGGTGAGGAATTTGTTTAGTTTTGAAGCTTTTGACTTAACATCTCAATCATAACCAAAAAATTGTAGGTTTCGTATGCTATCGGATTGGCGAAACCCCTTTCTGTGATGGTCTTCTCATTCGGCACCTCATCCCTCAACGAGTCTGAGCTTCTTGAGGTCGTCAATGCGAACTTTGACCTCCGACCGGGAATGATCATCAAGTAAGAAAAATCTCTGAAACAATCAACAAATATTTCAGGGACCTCAACTTGAAGCGACCAACTCAAGGACTCTACGAGAAAACCGCCGAAAATGGTCACTTTGGACATGGCGATTTCCCCTGGGAGAAGCCAAGAACCCTTCAGCTCAGGTAAAGAATCAAGTTTGGCTTATTTGTGTAAAACAAAACCTTTAAAATATCGGCTTTAATCAAGTCGATTTCAGGCCAGAACTTGCCGCCAAAGCCAAAACCCCAACATCAGTACAAACCGAGGCGGGAGCGATTGCACACTAAATTGTTAAACTTTTTTCTCAAAAAATCCTTTCCCCCAAGCTTTTCCTGTCCTTTTCTCTATCTGCAATTACTAAATTGCATGTCAAAAAAAAGCCGTTGTGATAATTTCTACCTAAACAAAAACAAAAACAAATCGATTTCGTTGTGCCTTTATTTATGTGTGATCATCGCTCTAGAATGGTTGAATTGCATCTACGGCCGCTTTCTTTGTGATTTCCGCAAATTCTACATTTTTCCCGTTTCTTACATCCATATTCTCAGTACGTGTTTTTGCGAAAAACACGCCATCTCATAATCCGCCACAATTTGATTTTGAAAAATGGGTCGTCCTTTGAAACAATAAATTTTATTGGGTCAATTGAATAACACATTTATTTATTAAAGCTGTTGCAAATAACATTCCAAAAGGCTTAAAAAATAACAAGTAAAATATTTAAAAAATAAACAAAACACATATGTAGACTATATAACAGCAGAATCTCAAAATGACATTTTTCAAAGCTTCACATCGACGTCTGGATATGGAACATTGTGTCGTCCAATCATAAAGCAATCAACATTTCGGCAGTCGAATCGATTACATCCATTATCCTCATCCGAAGCCACGTAGTAGTTCGGTAGAATTTGGTGGATTACGCCATAATCCCAGATTGTGCGCATCAATTCGCGAATATTTGGGCGACGTGGCATTGTATGGTAATTGGTGAGAAAGAAGGGATGCCATGAGTCAAACTTGATAATTGGAGTTTCGATTCTGAAATCACCGTATCGAATCAAAAACTCGCTGAGGAGATACCCGTTTTCATGATCCACCATAATCAAGAAATCGACATTCACGTCTTGTTCGGGCTCTTGGTCGATGATTCCCACACTGCGATGTTGTCTTAGAGTCAGCGGTTTCGTGATGTATTCGTCCAGGATCATTCGAACATAGGGACCCATTCCAAATCGCAAAGTGTCAAGTCCACGTAGATTGGCAGTGAATAAATCGCAGGGCAAAGCAGAAAGCGAAATGTCCTTTGGGAGAACATAAAGTCGATGCTGATGGATTTTCCAGGTCAGTTCCTCTCCGATAGCGTAAGCATCAACCGGTGCCACCAACCATTCTTCCTCTTCTCGATCTTCAGAGCCGGCGTGTGCAAGAATGATGACTCGAATCCAATCACCCGTTTCTGTCAAAGGCTTCAGAACAACCACATCACCGTGTTTTTTCCATGGAGCCGGCATGTGCTGGTGTACATTTTGATTCTTGACGGCTATCTGAATTTGATTCTTGGCTGTTTGGTGTCGATCGGCCCTAGTAGCGTCATCTCCCCAATCGCGACAGTCACGTATTCCAAGTACACGATTCGGAAATAGAATGGCGATTGGCAAACAAAGGAAAACGCCATCGTCCGTCGGCTTCAATTTCAAGTCGTATAGTGCATCTAAGTCATCGGCATCAACGAAGTTCTCGATTTTCCAATTCTTTGGTCCGGGTCCCAATCCTTGCGCAAGTGAAAGCTTGTTTTTCTCGAGTTCAGGCACCAATTTGTCGCCATTTGCGTAGACAAGGCTTCTCATCCAGAAATCTTGATAGCAAGAGCTCCATGAAAGCTTGACTTTGTGATCGACAAGATCTTGTAGAATCTCAAGGCGTTCAACGATGTCTTCGCAGACGGGAATCGCGTATGGATCACATCGTCGAACTCGTTCCATCTGAAAATCATTCGCAGTAGGCATTTTTGCATTGCACACCGTTCGAGTTGCCTTCCTCTTCAATATTTGCAATTGTGCAATGGTGGGCATTTCTGAAAAAAACAAAATTGTATCATTGGCAAAAGTGACATGTTAAAGATGCTCAAACAGCTTCCAGTTTACCGCTAAATGTGCAAAACGATGAAGCGTCGCTTAATTTAATAACTGAGCTTTCGCGCACACTAACAGCTCTACCAACCAAAAATAGACTTTCGATAAACTGCTCGTAAGAGCTTATCAAAATAAACCATGAAACAGACATTCAAAGCTGTGCACCCAATCAATCCCTGAACAACGTTTATGAAATACGAAACTCGACAAGCAAAGCCGCAAACAAATAAGCACACATTCAATCCAAAAACAACATTATATTCTTCAAAAACCAAAAATATTCAATCACATCAGCACACATATCCATAAGGTGAAATCAGTGAAGAAAACCCGTTTAAAAAATTATGGTACACATTGAACTACAAAATGAAAAGATTTCACATCAAATTCCTTCTTCGACCCTTCTCAGCAAGTATCGTAACATTTTCACTATATCCGGATCCGTGATTTTGTTTAGGTCACCGCCATAGTTAAACCTCCTAAACAAAGACATTAGAAGTTAATTTCAAAGGTCACCGTTCAATATTGTCTTCAGCCTTGTAGACATAATAATCAGAATTGGTCGATTTTCGGAGAGTCTTCTTTCCCCAAACTGCAATTGGAACCTCTCCAGCTGGCGTCGATTTCTACAATAATCAATCTTGTTTGAACTGAAATGATTGACTTTACGGTGATCACTTCCATTTGTTCTTCGTCTCGATTTTTATTTGTTGACATTTCACGCAGTGGTACACGATTCTTATTAGCTATTGGCCTCGCTTGATGTTCTTGAAAATTCATCAAGGAAGATGGTGCAGTTGAAATAGGTCTATAGTTGTGATTCACTATTGGAGCACCAATAAAAATTACTACCTGCATTCCTCTTTTCTCGTTTGGCCCTTTTCCGAGTTGCACCATTTGCAGTCATTTCTAAATACAACAAAATTTGTACGCATGAAATTCTAATTCAAACTTGTCACAAGCTCCAGCTATTTTCAAAGGAGGCAAAGGCATTGTCGTTAATTTTGCAATAGCATCAAGTTCTCTGAAGAGGTGGAAGAAACTTTCCTTGATTCTACCTAAAAACAATAAATAATCGTTACCGTGAGGCCATTATTACCATCGTTGACTATTTTGATTCTTCCAAAGCTCCTATCTTCAATAGTGCCACTTCCACATCTTCCGTAAAGAATAGATCCTAAAATCATTGTGAATACTCCTCATTAAGTATGTTACCGCTTAAAAGAACCACTCGCCTATCGCCATTTTGCAGAATTTCTGCTTTACCATCAGGAAACTCGGCTGGATGTAGACATACTACCTAAAATTAATGAAAATCTGCTAGTTGCTTAAAGAAACTAACCACTACGGCTGATCTCGTCGTAAACACCTGCAGGCTCAGAAAAGAGCGTCGATAGTTTTCATATTGTAGACCACTTAGATCTTCTAAGCTAAAAACCGACTAGAAAACAAAATCTAAAACAACAAACTTGTAAAAATCTCCCAGTGTTTTCTTGTCATACTTGGCTCGAGGATCAGAAAGACTTCTTATTATTTGTTCATTAGAAATTGGCTGATAGAAAGATACCTAAAACGTCGAAAATCTTATTTTGGTCAAACAGGCAAGTCAAACTTTTTGTCCTTTGTCATTCCCAATTGTTACGATCATTACTCCAGTTACTCGCCCATCATTCAACGCTTCGCGAATAAAATGTGGTCCTTGAACAGAGTACTAAACGATTTAATACGTTTCGATTTCCCAATACTCTTACCCGAGCTTCTTTGCTGATGATAGCCATTCCATCAAACTGTTCAAAAGACAAGGGCCATTTTATCTTGCTATTATCTGTCACTAAAATTATAAAATTATCTTAATTCAATGAGAAAGCAAACCTGTTGTTGATGTCGTGGGCTTTTTTTGAGCAATTGGCACACACCCTTCGGAAACGCAACTAAACTTTGTTAGATACCATTCAGCTTGGTTTAAAGTACCTTCTTGATGGCTCTCTTCTTGTTTCAAACAGTCTGGTCGACGTAGACCTCGTCTGATTTCGAGTTTGATGCTAAAACTTCCAAGTCCATGGACAAAAGCTAAATTGACCTGATCGCTTTGCGCGCTGATATATCCACTTTCTTTTGGGCCTTGGTAACGTCTTAGTCGCGATTCAACGGCTAAATAACAGCACAAGTTTAAATTAATTTTAATCAAACCTACAAGGATCCCTACACGTCGCACGAAGGGCTTCAACTGATCGTCGTCTAGATCTTGGGGCGTTCTCTTCCCTCTAAACGTAAAAAATGAAAACTTAGCAGAGAAAATGTTTTACCTGACGAAACTCTTGTGATCCCCTGAACCCGCTGTTCGCGTGTTCATGTTGGCGCGACGACCTAATTTCGATGTGATTAGCAAATTAAAAACAAACTACCAAGAATTGGGTCCGTTGTTCGAAATCTTTGCGCTGCACTCTCTGCAGAAATCACTTAAACCGATTGCTAAACAAACTCAGATAAATGATCAAGATAAAATCGACCTTTCAGTTCTATTCTTTCTTGTTCAGAAGCAATCATTCCTTGAATCAAACGTCGGGCCGATGGGTTGAACACTCTCTCCAAATCAGCCGAAGTTATTCGTCGATCTCTGAAAATTAACAACATTAAGAAGAAAAATTTTAATTAAACTAACCTTGGCTCAATACCTGAAAGCATAAAATAGAGCACGCATCCCATCGAATAAACGTCCACTGCACGATTATAGGCCGTAACCATGTCCCTAAGCTTTGAAGTTTTCAGAATTTTCAAAAACCCTCACGGAGCCATGTAGCCAGGAGTGCCAACGATCGTCTTTAGTTGTTTTCCCGGAGCCAGTTGCTTGCTGAGACCAAAGTCACAGAGTTTCTAAAACAAAATGAGAAAATATTGCATATTTATAACGTACAATCTGAAGCTTTTCATAACCGTCAACTTGCTCCTTGCGACTAATCAATATATTTCCCGGCGAAATATCTCGGTGAACTATCTGCTGGCTGTGTAGATATCCAACGACGGAAGTTAGCTGCCGCAAAACGTGGAATGCTAAGCGTTTAAAAGTTACTACACTAATGTTTCCCGCAAACCTGATAGATCGTGCATCTGTCTTTTCGTGGTTTTCATGTAGTCGCGTAGGGAGCCATATTTGCAGTATTCCATCACCAGATAATACAATCCATTCTAAATCACATATAGATAAAGGCACAACTTTATGACGCACATTGTAGTAGCTCCCATAATACTTTACTACGACTGGCTGGCTGAGGTGCTCCAGGGCGGAAAGTTCATCTTGGATTCGAGGATTTATCGCAATCTAAACAAATTGATTGATCTGGTAATATTTCCCACTTGCTAAGTAAACAATCATAAAGTGAGAGTAAAGCAAAAAGCCACCTGTTTGACCGCAACGGTGATCGACTCATCGCCTCTCTTGAGCGTTCCTTTGTAGATTTTGCCAAATCCTCCGGAAGCAAAAGGCTTTTCATCGAGGGTTATCTAGAAATGAACAACATGTAATTCAAGCAAACAAAAAACTCACGTCTCTGACTGTTATGCTTTGGTTTTCGACCATCAATTCTAGTCAATTATTGCCTGGAAAGGAGAAATTTTCACATTGTAGCTAAACCAAACGAAACAAGCAGTAAAAAGAGAGAAAAACGAATGTTTTGACAAAAGCTTCCAAACCAACAAACAACAAAAGTCCAAACATTTTTTGCTTCTTCAAGAAGCAAATGATATGAAGAAAAATTCTAAATATTTTATAAATTTTTTGTTGACTGAAATGTTGACAAACTTAAAAGCTACCACAAAAATCTTGCAAACAGTGAACCAATCAAAACTTTTATTCTCAGTAACAAAGATATAAACAAGGTAAAAACTTGCCACTTTTCATTTTTATCAAGTGCTATTAATGAGCTTGTCGGATGTGGATGTTCAAAAATTTGAGCCGTGCCTCTTTGCGATACGTTAATTGGAGCGATAGGTACTTTGTGTTCTTTCATATTCTCATCGCTAAGAATGCTCAAGTCAGCACAAGATCTTTATCGCATCTTTTCGTGTTTAACAGAAAATCCGCTCAGAATTCGACATGTACTATTGTTTGTTTCAAAATATAGCTTTATTTAAAAGAGTTTCATGTAATTTTTTTAGAAAGCTCGCCAGCCGAATGCACGAAACGGCGCTGCTAGTGATTTCGAAGGGGTCGATTTCGCGAATCAAAGAACTACTCTCACTCGCCGCCACAACTGTTCGACAAAAACTGTTGGTGTTTTTAGTTTAGTTTCTATATAGTTTTCCAAATAAACATTCTTTTCAAGCTGTAATTTAGGTATGTCCGTGTTGAACACGAAGAGTTAGATGCACTCGTCCCGCAAGTTTATCTCGAATCCTCGTTACTATGCCCGAATTTGGATGTTCGAGTGATGCTTGCGGATCGAATCCCGGAACATCAAGGTTTTATAGGTAAGCATAATGCTTTGAATAAAAGCTACAAAAAGAAATATCTAATTGAATTTGCTTTAGGTGAAGATCGACCTGGAAAAATGATTATTCCTGAGAAGAAATACAAGGAAGTTGTCCTGGGAGGGACATTTGATAGAATACACAACGGGCATAAAGTGCGTTTCTTTGCATTTCGTAAAAAAGTGATTGTATTCTAGCTTTTTATTTTAGACGTTGCTATCAAAAGCCGTGCTTTTGGGAAGTCAAACTCTTTTCTGCGGTGTTACCGATGTTGAGATGATCAAAAGTAAGCTTGTTTTGAGTTTTATGGTAATTGGAACGACAGATTTGCACACTTAGCTTCTTATTCTCAAATTAACGTTTCGAAGTCTTTAGAGAAAACACTGTGGGAATTGATTTCACCCGTTGAGGATCGTATCAATGATGTGAAAGAATTTGTGAACGATGTTTCTGAAGGTCTCAGGTGATTGAGTATTTTTTGATCATTAAAATTTTAAATTTTAGTTGTGATCTCTTTCCTCTTGATGATCCATTTGGAAAATCGATTACCGTACCTTCGATAGAAGCTATTGTGGTTAGTGAAGAAACGAGAAAAGGAGGCGAAGCAGTGAATTCCCGACGAAGGGTTGGTTATTACTTGCAATTTTGGCACACTTCCTATTTAGGATAACAAACTATCTACTCTGATAGTCGAGCAAATCGATTTACTAAAAGACGAAGACCTGGTACTAAGCGAAGTGAAGGTTAGCTCATCAACGAGAAGAAGAGAGGCTCTTGGAACTCTATTGCAGCCACCGTTCAGGTACTTGGCTTGTTGCTTGAACATTTATTGTGTTGTTTAGAGCACCTATTCAAGGACGTCCTTATGTTATTGGGTTTACTGGAGGTATTGCATCCGGAAAAAGCAACATTGCGAAATATCTCAAAAGTTTGACGGACTTTCAGGTAAGGGAAAGTAGGATTAAAAGTAAATAGTTATTACTTAGGTCATCGATTGTGATAAGCTTGCGCATGACACGTACACGCCTGGAAGTAAGCTATGTTTGCGAATTGGTGAAGCATTCGAAGGTACTTTCTGGCTTTTGAATTTTTTAATAGGGTATTTTAGGAGTATTGGATACGACTGGGGCTGTTGATAGAAAAAAACTAGGAGCGATCGTGTTTAGCAATCCAGTAAGTCAGTTTGTAAGTGAAGAAAAAGCTTTCTTTAGGAGCACCGATTAAAATTGAACAACATAGTTTGGCCAGCTTTGATGGAAATCATCGAAGAAAAGATCGACCAATGTGAAAAGGAGTTCTTTGTTGTGGAAGGTAAATTTTTTGCGTATAGATTCATTTATTTCTAAACTTAGCTGCCGCTCTAATTGAGGCCGGTTGGCACAAAAGAATGAACGAGTTATGGACGGTGATTGTATCAAGAGAGGAAGCCCTTCGACGAATTTGTGCACGAGACGGCGTTCCAGAAAAAGATGTACGTGTATTAAGTTACTGATTCAAAGCTTGTTTAAACGAAAGTGTGATGCTTTAGGCTGAGGCCCGCCTTAATGCGCAAATTGACAACAAAAAACGAGTGGATGCCTCAAATGTCGTGTTCTGCTCTCAATGGGCGTATGAAGAAACGCGTGCACAGGTTGATTTTAATATTTTTATCGGAACTATCGATTTATAGGTTATGAGAGCAGTCGAAGCGGTTAGAAAACGGATTGACTAAAACCGGGAAGCAGATACAACTTAGATACGTTAGATTTCAGTTTATACCTTTGATTCTTGTGCCTTCTTGCGCATTATTTATTGTGATAGATTTCTGTGATTCGTCTGATTGTATGATTGGTAATAAAGGTGCTGGAGTATTTATTCTGTATTATCAATGATTTTTTGGTTCAAACTTGATATCTTTGAATGAACCTTTGAATGAAAAATGCATAGGATGTTTTACTAATCATTAACCTAGATAATGCGGGCCGCAGAATTGATGGAGGAGGATAGCGGATACGTCTGGGATAGCAATCGATTTCTTGCTCTCCGAGAAGAACTGCTCCAGGAAAAAAATGAGGTAAGTTAAAACTGAATAACAAATATTGTGGCTCAATTTTTGAAAATGTCTGTTTCTTTAGGACAAAGCGCTGGAAATTCTTACCCGACTCTTAAGCATCGATGAAGAAACTGTGGATCCGTAAGTGACTAGAGTAATTTGATTCACTTTGTTTCTTAAAGATTGGCTTGGATGGACGCAAAAGACCTCATTGTGCTGCTTCTTCAAACGATTACCGCCGATAAACTTCTTTCTCAGCATCAGGTAGAAAGAAATTAGATACTTTTAGTAAACAAAATGATTTAGATCTTTATTCTTAACGCTGTCAACCAGTGCTCTCCATCTGTTGTCGAATTGTTGGCTGCATTCTTCCTGCAAAACAACTCTTCGCAAAAGTTGATCTCATCGGGATCTTTGGCGGTGGCAATCGCTTTCGCAAGACGAATCAATGAAGAGGAATGTTATGAAAAGGTTTTATTATTTTAGCATAAGTATTCTTACCTAGCTTTATAGATTGCTGTTTTGCTTGGACCAATTTTGCACGTGTCTGAAGTTAGTCAAGAGTTACTTCATCAGCTGGCCAGCTCGAAGAAATCACAACATCGTTTTCGAATCTACGAGGTGATTTTGGAATTTTTGTTTCTTCAACTAAATTTCAATTAGGTTGTTGTATCTGCTTGTCGAATCAAAAATCTTCATCCGGAGATGAAACCATTTTTCGACTACATTATGAAGGTAGCTTTCTACTTTTGATCTATAACTTATTTTCTATTCTTTAGGATATTGCAACTGATGACATTCTTAGCCAGCTTGCGATTATGGATTTGTTGTCTTCGATTGCTAGTATGAAGCTTTAGTTGAAAAATATTCAACAATGTTTAGTTTGCGGTCCACAAATGTGTCAGCTTTTGACAGAAACCGGGGCTTCGACTGCTGTTTACAATTTGCTCAGCTCTTCAAAGGATTCGCCGGATGGAGGATTCTTGTATCCTGGTAAAGATCTCTGATTTTTTAAAGACCAATCCATGTTTAGGATGTATCAAATACTTTGGACACCTTTGTCGCGTCTTTCCTAGCCAGCTTTCGGTTTATCCAAAGTTCCTGGATGCGCTCGTTGATTTGGTAAGCAAAACAATATTTGTGCAGAGCTCATTTTCACTTTAGATTTCCCATTTTGATCGATTGGATCCATCACTTCGATTGATTGCTTTTGATACACTTGGAAATGTCGGTCATTCCGGGGAGGCGAAAGTCGAATTGGAGAAAATCAAAGGTGGATACCATTTATGCTAGATCTCTGCGTGGCTAAGTAAATTAACAAACCGTTGACCTATCAATCATTTACAGGTGACATCAAAATGCGCCAAATACTTGCTCATTTTGGAGTTGCATGTGTAACCGGTCCCGTTGATTTGCGAGCTCGTCATCTCGATGCTTTGGCGACTTTATTTGGTGAACCGGCCACAAAACGTAAGTTTTGCGTATGTGTTGAAGATTTTTTGCTTTAGAAAACGAAAATATTTCTCGACGATATTTTGGATGGTTGGGTGAACCGTTTCCCAAGCTTTTGTTTGATGTCCTTCAGGTAGTTTTTTTGTTAGAAGGAAACCTATCTTTTAAATGCAGAAGCCTTTCGACAATATGCGATTGGCTACGCTTGCTGCATTGAACTCCGTTCTCGGCTATGAATTTGGAAAATCGACTATGTTTACCATTGGAGGGTTTGTGTTTCAAAAACTAAGACAATACTTGTTTTTGGACCTTTAATCTTTCATCGATTTTAGTTTCACTGACTGGCTTGTGAAAAATACGACCGAGACGCAATGGGAAACAGCTCAAGCCAAAGAGAAAATTGTGAAGAATCTTCTTGCTTCGGACTCGATGCTCATTGATGGAACACTTCGCGACAAACTCACGGTAGGCTTTTAATGTTTCGTAAAATATTTGAATTTAATTTTCAGGCTTACTTCACTCCTATCAAAAACGACCCTCAAGTCGGTATGGCTAGTTTGTAAGCAGTCGGCATGTTAATTTGGACGCTATTCTACTAAATTTATTCACGCGGGTATCGTTATTGATTTATCGAATTCTGTTCTGCACGCTTGTTATCAGTCGTTATTAGGGTGTGTTCCTTCCGAGTAAGTAATTACTCGAGTAAAACTAGCATCAGTAATTTTTACTCGATTAATCGACGTTTTCGGTTGAGTAACTACGAGTAATCCTCTTGACACGTCGAGTAAATTGAATATCTTTACATTTGAAGGGAATTTGCCACCAAATCAGTTAAACAGCCGAATATCTTTGATCGTATCAGAGGCGGCCCTCGTGATTTTTTGCAATAATTTTCGCTAAAAATACGGTAATTTTTTCCAAATATGCATTTAAAAAACGCATTACTCGTGAGGAACACACCTTAGTCGTTATGAGTCTGCTCTTTTCATTCTAGTATCACGTACTACCCGGTCATCGCTTTTAAGAGTTTACCTTGTGATAATAAAGAAAATTTATTTGGACACTTTATACACGTCAGCTTTTCAACTTTTGGTTATCAATTGAAAGAAACTTTTTTGTGGGCTTAAAATTTATTTGTCTCTCGCGCCGTTTCGGAAGTTTTTTCCACTTCTGTGTTTCCGTTGTCATCTCGACGGATGAGCTGAAGATTGAATGATTCCATTCTTTTCATCTGCGAGGTTCGAGGTACCACTCTAGATTCAGCATGGATTAAATTGGAGGGTGTTATGGACTGTAAATGAAACCAGTTTTCTGTTTAACCTTTCAACTACCGTAATGTACTCACCTGATCGAGGGCGAATGAGCGACCGAAGTCTTCTGCGTCAACAAGGAGCGCGAAAGCGAACGGGTACTAAACTTGATGCTACTTTAACTTCACATTGAAAATTTGAAATTTACGACTACTACGGACTAAAAAGCGAAAATGTAACAACGCACCACACGAGAGATTAGTGACAGAGATAGAGATAGAGAGGGATTGAAGGGGAAGAAGTGAAATCTCCCAATCTCTCCCCCACAAGGAAGGCACCAACTACCTCAACAACGTCTTCCGGCGTTCCATTTTGAAAACACCACCCGTCCACATTCTAAAGTTTGACGAGAATTATAACTTTATTAAGGATTTAACACATCACAATCAGCTTCAAAATTAGGCACTAATACTGACTAAAATTCTAAAATTAGGGATAACAAGTCACACATTCATTTGAAACACGTTTTCTATGATATTTCAACGTTTGAATTCGATTCAGAAATCCAACTGTGAGTCACCAAATTTCCCTTTTTTTTTTACCCCTTTTCCCCTTTCCCCCTGTTTACCTCAACGCCAATAGCAAACGTCGTCGGAAGATGGATGAGGTGAGACAGAAAAGAACGACATTGCACATTTTACCCGTGAACACCAACGAATTCGTGATCGTTTTCAAATGGGTGAAGCTCCTAAAGAATTTTTTGAGGATTTTCTTCTTGATCTTGATCCTCTTGATTCTTCTTCTAATGCTTCTAAAGAGCTTACATGCTGATTGGATGTGGGGAGAGAGCCTCGTAGAGAAACAAAACTGCTGACGGACCCTGAGTCACCGAGAAACAAGTGACAATGGCCACCACCCTAAAAAGGTTAGGTTTTCTCATTTTTTGCCAGATTTGTGAATTTTCAAATTTTCGATCTCACGCACGTTCTCGTCATTCGTCTTTCTTGTTGCAATTGTGCGGATGGACCCTTTTGTTGAAGGCAACTTGTGACGAGTTCCTGAAAACAGTAGCTAGAATAGATAGCTCTGACAGAATAGCTCTAACATAGAATAGTACAGTACCGGATAAACTACGGTAAGTCCAGGAAAATTTTCGAAACTTTCAACCGAGACTCGAAGTGATCTAAGCCTCGTAAACGGGTACCCGTTACGGTTTTTACTGTACTTGAACACATAAACACTGCACTTTGACCTCGTTTAGGGAAAAGCTGATGTTCTTGTCTATTAATTACTTTTTTTTTCTAATCATATGTCAGACCTGTGAGTTTCTCTTCTTTATCAACTTCAAAAGTGCCATGTTGATGAGAGTAACCGCGAAAACTGGAGCGATCACCGCGAACACTGTGTTCAGAACGGCCGCGAAACGGATCACTGTCTAAAATAAAGGTTTAAGACAAAAAAAATTGAAATTTTTAAAAAACCCTTAAACTATTATATAGTTATGTCATTGAAAATCAAAAATTAAAAAATTAAAAATTGAGTGCAGCTACGGGAGTCGAACCCTGATCTTGTGAGCTGAAGACAACGGCGCTCCCGACTGCCCCATGATAACAGAAAGCGATTAGCTGGATTCATCACTTTTATTATACCTGTGCCCTTGGTGAATACGGGTTTGTCATATTGTAACGAGTCCACAAATGTACGTCCGTATTCGGGAGAAAAATCGGTGCCACCATAAGCCCGTTGCAAACAACTTTGTAGGTGCAAGTCCACGAGAAATAGTGATAACTGGAAAATGTTGGTTAAACGATCTTTTAGTGTTTGTTTTCAAAACCTTGTCAGCAGAAAAGTCCCACCGAGCACCAGCACAGCCATCGCAATGGTTTGCACGTTCTGAAATTGCACTACTTTCAAAAACGATATCTATTTGTCGAAATTCAATAGCATTTATTCTAGTAAACGTCAAATTTTCTCTATTTTCTCTAGCTTTGATAGTTAAATCAAAAACGATATGAAGTCTGTAAATAGTTGCAGCGGCAGTCACAAATTTCAACTGTTCAATTGTTCAACTGTTTTCAACTCACACTAAAGTTGTTTAGTGACCGAAACGGGAATTTGATGATGACGAGACGCTCTATGGAAACAGCTAAGACGAACCTGGAAATGAGATTGCAAAATGAAATGGACTTAACTAGGGAACTCTTTGAATTTACCACCGATTTTCGAAGCCGGACCTAGCTATAAAACTCTCTCGTAGAATTTCCTGGACCGCGAAACATACAAAATTTTTGCTCACGGGTTCAATTCCGCTTGCCACCAATTCCTTTTTTTGTCACAAGTATAAAAAAACCTTTTTTTTGTGAGTATTAAGATGTATTTTAAAGTACAATCGACTCACGATTTAACGATTAGCTTATGGCCAAAAATTTCGATTTAACGATTCTAAAAAGTGCCTCAAATCTCTTGCGTAACTGCTCTGGACGGCTTGCGTTTGGCTGGGCAAACCAAAGGGGTATTTTGGAATTTCAAAATCGTTGTATCGAGAGTAGAGTAAAAGCAAAAGATGCCAGTAGAAAGTTTTAATTTTATGGCAAAAATCTCATGGTGGTGGACCGTATGGTGGTGGTGGCCCGTATGGTGGTGGTGACCCGTATGGTGGTGCTGGCCCCTATGGTGGTGGCCCGTATGGTGGTGATGACACTTTGGTGGCTGAGAAATTTCTTGTATTCGGAATCATGATATGGTGAAAATCATGAAAAAAGATCAAAAATGTGTGACCCAAAAAAAATCATTTTTGCACCATACCACTTTGAGCCTCTTAAAGTTTTTTAGAAATTTGATACAAAGCGACTTTTGTTTTGGACACCCTCTAGGTGAGGATTGCTTAAAAATTGCTGAAACTTTGGACACGTTTTTCTCGAAAAGCAGAGCCTGTGAGGAAAAAAATAACAAATTGGTGTCTCTTAGAATTCTACGAGAGCGTTTTGTTAGTTAGGCTCGGTTTCAAAAATTGGTGGTAAATTCAAAGAGTTCCCTAATAAGATAAAAAAATTAAACTTTTTTAGCTTGGGTTTTTGGCTAAAATATCTTGCCTTTAGCATCAGTTTTTAATTGGAGTTTTTTATTTAATTTTAATCTATTGAAGTGCCCATTTCACTCACCAGATAGCCGCCGCGCTGAACCAATTGGTGAGCGCGCCGAAGACGACTTTTGTCTAAAAGCTAGCCTTTCACAACTTCAACACTTCGATCTTTATCTTCTTTGAATTTGATTTTGAAATGTTTGACGATTTTTCGATGATTTTCCGATGAAATTCAAGAGCTCACCTCAACGTAAAAGATTCTGAAACGCGGTGAGAAAGTTGGAAGAATGGCGGCAAGGAATTCGGGAAATAAAAGCACCAAAACGAGCACATCGCATAGAGCAAGAAGGGCTAATAGGTGATTGGCACTGAAAGGTTTTTGAATAATATGGAATCTTTCAAAAACCCCCTACCGATTCCGCACTTGACTCCCCAGCAGCACCGAAATCACGAGAATATTGCCGACAAAGGTGACGAAGAGTTGAATCGGGTAGATGTACTGAAATCCTTTTGAAGCTTAAGACAGCTTAACTTTAGCCTTAGATGTCTGTAATATAGCTGTAAGTTTTACCTGATAAGTGTACTGTTCCCATCCGAGATGTAGGAGAGCGAGTGGATGGGGTGGGCGAATTGCTGAGCAATTCTTGTTCATCTCTGAAACTGATTTGAGTGCTAGACTATCAACTACAAAAATGACAAACTATCACACTATAAACGCTTCTAATGAAATAATATAAAGACTTTTAAGCCAAGGACTAGAAAATAGTACTTCTACAGAAGAAATGAGCACACATAAACTACAAAAGTTTGTAACTTTCTACAAATCTGTCGGATTTATATGATCTGTAGCTCAAAATATAGAGAATCTCAAGGGCTTTCGAATGGACTAAAGTACACTCAAAAATCTGAATGTTAAAGAAAGTTATAGTGGTTTGTAGTCTGACGGATTGTACTCGAGCATAGTTGAAGCGATTGAGTCAGGTTTTTATAGGTTTTTACGAGAAACACTCGAAAAGGAATAAAAAAAGGAATAAAAAGGCTTTTTACTTAATAGAAAGGCTAATAGAAAGCCTAATAGAAAGCTTTGATTCAAAGCTAGAGAAGAAAAGTGAAATAAAGTTTAAAACAAGAGCCAAATTCTCAGCATTTCAAGAAATATGATCTCCAGATAAAATAAGATAAATGTTTCCAGGTGGTTTGGAAGAAAAGGGTTTTGGAGAAAGGTTTTGGAAAAAGGGAAATCCGATGGGAACGCTCTTTTGCTTTCACATCAATCTCCCCAAAACAAATCGAGTAGGAGTCTATGAAAATTCAAAGACTACATCAAATAATATTAACAAATCAAAAAATTAGTCAATGAATTGCTCAATTGGTCAATGAATTGCTCAATTGGTCAATGAATTGGTCAATTGGTCAATAAATTGGTCAATTGGTCAATGAATTGGTCAATTCGTCCATGAATTGGTCAATTGGTCAATGAATCGGTCAATTGGTCAATGAATTGGTCAATTGATCAATAAATTGATCAATTGGTCAATAAATTAGTCAATTGATCAATGAATTGGTCAATTAGTCAATGAATTGATCAATTGGTCAATTGGTCAATGAATTGCTCAATTCGTCCATGAATTGGTCAATTGGTCAATGAATTGGTCAATTGATCAATAAATTAGTCAATTGATCAATGAAATATTGTGCTAGACTATAAACTACAAAAATGACAAACTATCACACTATCAACGCTTCTAACTTTCTACAAATCTATCGCATTTCTATGATCTATAGCTCAAAATATAGAGAATCTCAAGGCCTTTCGAATGGACTAAAGTACTAAAGTACTAATAAGTCAATGAAATATTAACCAATGATTTTGTTGAACTCTTTTCTTGGCGTCATAGCTCATTTTTCTACTCTTTTATTGAGAAAAAGTGAATCAGAAAGAGCTTGCAAATGAGACAAATGAACAGACAATTCTGAGAGACAAATGAACATGACAAATTTGTGAAAAGGTGAAATTAAGTTTTAAAAGAATACTATAAAGTAGCTAGAAACTGAGAAAACCCAACGCCGGCTCGTTGAACTCGTTGATCGAAGTGATCATTGACCAGCTACCTTTCCCTCTTCTCTTTTCTCAAGCCATCATTTAAAGCTGAGCGAATAATTGTCGCCTTTCATCACTCATAAATTACTCAGATTCATCTCATCAAAATAAACTGAAAAACAAGAATTTCTAGTAATAATAGACTTGAAAATCGAGTAGAGAAACGTCAAAAAAAATTTTTTCGAAGAATTTAAACAAAATAAAATGATTTTATTATTGAATCAGAATGAAATTCTTGTAGAATTCTTGAACAAAAGTGTAGAAATCACTTTGATTGAACATTTTGATCAAACTTGATCAAACTTTTCAATTACAAGTTAAAATTGAAAGATTTTTGTGGAAATCTGGAAAGATGAAAAGATCAAAAAGACTTCTGCAAAAAGCCTTGAACACAGGTATAACAGGTTTTTAGAAAGTTTAGTTGAGACAAAGAAAAGAATGAATCTAGTAGCTTGTTAGATCTCTATGATACAAGATTTCCATACATCTACCTCTTCAAGATATATTTAATAAAGTAAAAAAATGGATGGCAAAGATCTTCGGGGCGAGAGGGAATTGAACCCTCGACCATCTGCTTAATAGTCAGATGCTCTACCACTGAGCTATTAGGGCCTTGTCTCAGCTGCAAGAAAGAGAGTTCTTTAACAGGTCTGAGTTTCAAGTAGACTTAAAGTAGACGGTTTAAGTCTACTTGAAACTCAGACCTCTTAAAGAACTCTCTTTCTTCCTGCTTAGTTAGCTATTCAAGATATACTTAATAAAGTAAAAAAAATGAATGGCAAAGATCTTGAAACCGAGAGGGAATTGAACCCTCGACCATCTGCTTAACAGCCAGATGCTCTACCACTGAGCTATTAGGGCCTTGCGTGCTCGGGTAAAAAGAGAGTTCTTCACAACCGTCTACTCGAAACTCAGACTAGTTAGCTATTCTGAATCCTATTTCGAGATTGGTACACAATCCAATGAATCTTTTTCTTTCGTTTTTTAGTGGGTGACGGTGAATGGGCAAATTGGCTGAGAATTTATAGTGGAAGGCACGAGGAATGGCGAATAAGGCGCGATAAAGCAAAGGAAAATGAGGAAATTGGAAAGAATTTCGTTGTGTTGCAATAAAAGTCTTTGGGAAGCTGTGGGCTAAAGTTTTTTGTGTACCCTTGTATTCGAAATTGGAAACAAACATCTGATGCTGCTAAAGTATCATTCTAACTAGAAGATTCTGAGTGTTTCAGAAAGTGTTTTGAGCAACTTGATACATCTGATACAAAACGAAAAGACTTATTCATCAACGTACAAACTTGCATTAATCCAAAAACTTATACAGTCGAACCTCTCTATAACGTAACTCACGGGACGGCTATAGCTTACGTTATATAGAGGTTTACGTTATATAGAGTGCCGTTTTATATAGCTTAACGTCGGCCGGGACCGGTCACGCCTTACGTTATAGAGAGGTTTACGTTATATCGAGGTTCGTTATAGAGAGGTTCGACTGTACATCTAAATTTTTAAATGAAAATCAAATGAAAGTGATTGGTTAGTAGAGTGAAAGGAGTTCTTCATTTTTTTATTTCATTTCATTAAGAAAATCCATTTATTTACATGAATAATGTGGTACAAACGATAAGAAAAGCAATGAAACAATTTCTAATTTCTAATGGACCTTTCGGGTTAAGCTAATTTTCGCATTTTTTTTGCGCAACTGGGTCGTTTGCGCAACTCGTCATAAATTTGTTCTAAGTGAACCAATCTTTAAGATTTTGGTTTCATTTTGTTGCACTTATTGAGATCTACAAAATGAAACCAGAATCATAAAGATTGACCGACTTAGAAGAAAGTTATGGCAAGTTGCGCAAATGATCCTGTTGCGCAAATGACCCAGTTGCGCGAATGACCCAGTTGCGCGAATGATCCTTGTTGCGCAAATGATCCTTGTTGCGCAAATGATCCTTGTTGTGCAAATGATCCTTGTTGCGCAAAAAAAATTGCGGAAATTAGCCAATCCCCTACTTTTGCAAAAAAAATTATAAAGGATGGAATTTTTCTCAAGGAAATTGATTTATATATCCTTTAAGGCTCAAAATTTAAGGTATTCTGTCTACTAAGCTGAATATCCATAATTGTTGCTTTTATTGTTTCGCAAAAAAAAAATTGCGAAAATTAGCCTACCCCGACCTTTCTAATGAAACAAACTGTATTTCAATTAGTGTATTTGTTGATTTAAAAACGGAATTACAAAAAGAAACGAAAAGAAACGGGCTAGGCTACTTTGCGCCAAATTTTTTGCGCAACAGGATCATTTGCGCAACTTGCCATAACTTTCTTCTAAGTCGGTCAATCTTTATGATTCTGGTTTCATTTTGTAGATCTCAATAAGTGCAACAAAATGAAACCAAAATCTTAAAGATTGGTTCACTTAGAACAAAGTTATGACGAGTTGCGCAGACGACCCTGTTGCGCAAATGACCCTGTTGCGCAAAAAATTTGGCGCAAAGTAGCCTACCCCAAAGAAACGAAAGACTCATTCAACCTAAAAACTTGCATTGATTCACAACTTATACATCTAAATCTTTAAATGGAAATCAAATGAAAGTGTTTGGTCGAAGGAACGAGGCAATTGAAATCAAATGAAAGTGGTTGGTTAAGGTTATCATTTGATTTACATCACTATCAAGCTTCTTTTCTTTATTTTTTTCAAAATAATATATAAAATCTACCAAATTGCCGCAATTTCCCAGAAATAATTACCATTTTTACATTATTTTTTCGATAAAAGAAACTATTGACGAAATATTTTTCTCTCTTAGATTATAATTAAAGAAACACATGGAACGCCTTCTTTGAAAATAAAATGAAAAAGGTTGAGGAGAATTATTTATGAGAGAGACGAGGGGTTTCAGAATATAATTTTGGAGAGAATGTACTAGATCTTTTAACATGTAATTGTTTAAATAATAAGAAATGATAGTTTTTTTTACGTCTGGAGTAGTCTGGATCGAGAATCGCCTTCTCAACCTGCGGTCAAGACGCGAGGAATTGATGCTAATCGAGGAATTGATGCACGATATGTCCCCTTCTTTGGCCCACAATTCTCCAATCAAGTAAGACAACCCTCTCATGCTTTAGAAATTTTTTATAGTAATGCCCATAGTATCGTTTCTTTGTCCCATGATCGTTTATCTACTTTTCAAGCTTTTCAAGCTTCAAGCTATTGTCAGAACCGAAATTAGCTATTACTGAGTAGCCCCATAGTAGCTATTACTGAAAGTTGGTTAGATGATTCGCATTGTTCCTCTTTATTAAATCCCTCTAATAGCTATCTAATAGCTATCGATCTCAATCCTACTATAAAAGCTTCTTTTTCTTCATTTTTTTTTCACAATAAATCATATACGGATTTGTACGTATTCGTATATGCTTTATTGTAAATTTGTACGTATTTTACGTCTGTAAATTCTGTACAAATTTTAGTATAGCTGTCTAGTATAAAAATCCATCTATTTTTCGACATTTATTAGTTTTTCAATGGCTTAGTAGACTTGGAATCGACTTGC